ATTTATTTATTTTATACTAAGTTATTAATATTTCTCTAAAAAACACAACCCTCCCTGTAGCAGCAAGCCTATGTACTCATAAAAATTAATGTTTATTAAATACATTTAATTGAAAATCAATTCAGGCAACTGGAAATTCGCTTAGTCGGCAGGTTTGCTGCGGCGGGGGTATCTTTTTTTATTTTGTTTGTAATAGTTCCTGAGTTGCTAAATCCAAAATTTCGACCTCGGCGACCTTCCGGATCACCTCCAAAAAGCTTAAAAATCGGTGGAATTTTGCACTATTTTTACGTTTGTCCGAATTTGACCCTGAAGTATCACTTTTTCATAAAGATCAACCATAACCATTTTTAAAGTACAATTAATTACCTATCATTTAAGACCAAAATGGTTATTACAGGCCTAATAGTTTTCAAGATATGACTTCGCAAACAACGGCTAAAATTACCAAATTTTGAATTTTTTTAAAGTTTGGCTTACGTTAACCCTAAAGCATAACTTTATCATTATTTTTCATTAAAACAACCATAATTACTGTTTTTATACCATCAAAATTTTATTTAGCGCATTATGAAAACGCTGCTAATTACATAATAGTAAAAGATATGTTTGTAACTACTGTAACAGGATTGTAAACGTTGATGACGATTTTGTATAACCTTAAATTAATTTTTTTAACGAGCAAAAGGTTATTTCCACGTTATGATGAAAATTGTTGTTCATCACACGGAGTGAAAGTGTCTTTTTGGTACTTAATGGTATTTCTAAAAATTTTGTAAAACTTGATTGCGTACAAAAAAGAGCCAACTTTGCTCCTACAGATGAAGACTACGATTTTTATTTACTATAAACATTTGAAAATATATGTTCTTGCTATTTTATGAACCTTACCTATGAAAAAAGAATAAGAAAACACAAAAAGTTAATAGCTATTTGTAATAATTATGAGACTGACATAGTGCTTTACTAAATCGAAGAAATTATCCCATGTTTTAAAAGTTAATAAAAATACAAATAGTTATCTTGTGTTTATCAACAACCTTAGATTCTATTCAATTGAGTTGGCTGTGTCCTTTACCTTACTATAAATAAAAATTGATTCCTTCATAAACACAACAAAAATTTAATTATTGTAATTATTTTTTCCAGATTGGCTGGTGTTTTACAGACTGCAGCGCTCATGTTTTGTACAGTTGTAAATATTGTATTTCATGTATATCGTTTGTGTCAATTTTAAGTATTTACATTTTATAAGTAAATATAAAAAGTCTAGCGATTGTGTGGTGTTTTTTTTTTACTTTTCCATCATTACCTCTTTGGCAAAAAAAAAATCAAAAGGTGGTGAAATTATATAGTTATTTGTGTAACTAGTCTGCATAGTGGCACTTTGCCCCCGGCTTTCACATTATATTCAAGTCAATCATTTATTTTCACAAAACGTTCACAGATCCAGCATAGCTGGGAAACAGGTGAAATGGTCATATACATAGAATACATAAAACCATGATAACTAAAAAATATGCTAAGAAATCAAATAAATACATAATTTAAAAAATCATTTACTTTATAATACACTCTGTTAAGCAGCAATTTGGCAACTTCTTTTTTGTATTTTTCAAATGATTCTCGTGATTTAATATAATTAGTGCTTATATTAATAGTGATTTATGTTTTTCCTACAGTTACTATAAAGTGTATAAATAATTAGTCTTTCAAACACTAAACAGCACGTGTAGTTGTCTTATCTTTAAGTGTTGCTAACTTATTTTCAAGCATACACGTATTATGTGCCTAACAAAAGCACAATGTTTTGTGTTGTTTGGTTGGAATACGGCAAAAGTATAAAGAGTGTGGCAAAAGTAAGTAAATGCAGCAATTAGCTACTTTGCATACTATAATCAGTGCAAGTAAGCCCACTTTGTCAGGTAACTGTAGGAAAAATTATTCATTTAACTGTATAAAAATGAATTAAAGTGTTTTTTGTGAGTTCAATTTAACATTACAGTATTGACTTAAAAACAGTATCATTCTACTGTAAAATCTGAAATGTGTTTTGAGGTTTGTTTCATGTTGAGTTTCTATTATTTGAGTGTTTCTCTAATTCATATAGACCTGTTTCCTTTGACAATAACTCAAGCAAAAATCATATCATTTTGATCAAATTTAATAGGCCCTACAAGCATATATAATATACTAGCTGTAACCTATTGCAAGTACTCTTTAAATCTCTTTAAATAGAGGATGAATATACAAGAAATATTTTGGGAAAAGCCAATCAGGCAAATGCAAATTTGCTTAATATAGGCCTAACACTACAGTACTAACAATTGCTTGGTATGGTACTATAATGTTACATTGAGTTTTCGAATGGATTTAAATTGGTTTAAAACAGGAAACGCCATCATGTAAACCGGAAAGGAACCACCACACTGCCTTTAGTTGAATTTTTTTTGTGCTGCGTCGTTGACGGACAATGTCGGATAGACTGCGTTATATACATTTAAGAATAAACACTACTATTTACATACATATAAACAATAAACTTAATCAGGCTGTGGCGGTAAATAAAACGTGTTCCGCATTTTTAAGGAAGGGCTTTTATATAACTTTTAGGGGTTCTTTGCTCAGCTCCTCCAGCGAGTACAGTGGCCTATCTACCAAGCTATTTCTGATGGCCGCTTTGAAAGAGGTGGTGTTCATATCCCGCACCTTATCTGGCAAGGTATTAAAAAGCCTTATGGCATAGCGGGGATAGCTCTTGAGGGTGAGACGACAACGCGGCATGTCAAGGTGTAGTGCTTGCCGGGTGTCATAGCGGTGGTGAACTTCTCTTCGGTCAAACAGATGGACATTCTCTTTCAGGAGTATTAGGATGTTCAACACATATTGACTGAAGACTGTAATAACATAATTACTGTAATAATGCCCAGATCTTTAAAAGGGGGCCTACAATGTTCGTTGTAGTCGGCTGACATTATGATTCTTACAGCTTTTTTCTGGAGCAATAATATGTCCTGTGCTGCTGGTGAATGACCCCAAAGTACCAAGCCGTACATAAGATGGCTATGAAACAGAGCGTGGTACACAGTTATCAAGAATTGCTTCGGAATGATGTTCCAAAGTTTCCTTAGGAGGCAAATAACCCTAGATAGCCGTGCGCATACCCTATCAATATGTGAGCTCCAGCTTAGTTTGGGATCCAACCAGAAACCTAGAAGTTTAACCGCCTCATCTCTTTCGGTTATAGTGGCTTCAGTGTGTAGAGCAAGGACTGAGTTTTGGCTGCATTTAATTTCAGGTGGTTTGCTGTAAACCAGTTCTTGGCCAGCTCCAAAAGATGGTCAGCTTCAATATGCAGTTGCTCAATGTCGCTTCCTCTAGATATCAGGGTGGTGTCGTCAGCAAAAAGGAGGGTGGAGCCATTTAGCCTCAAATCGTTCACCGCCACACTAAACAGGTTAGGGCCGAGCACCGAGCCCTGTGGCACTCCATGTGAGATACTCCTAACACAGGAGAAGGCCCCATTTATCACAACTATATACTTGCCTGCGATTTGCCAAATAACAGGACAGGGACTTCAGCACAGTTCCGCCCACACCATACTTTGCTAGTTTGCCTATCAAGCTTATGGGACGTATCAAAATAAATATATCACGGTATCCAGGAAATTAATATTTTCCTTGTTTTCTCTTTTAGTAACAATAGATACTGACACCTCCTCAAGCGAGGCTGCAACTGGTTCCATGTAGAAATCTCCGCATTGATATCCCCCTCCATCACGGATTATTCTTTAGCGTTTGTACACAAACAAAAACGATAGTATATTGGATTTTCAATTAAATCTATTCCAGTAACATTGGGTTTCAAAAGCACCTAGGCTTGCTGCTACAGGGAGGGTAATAAAGTGTGTTGGGTGTTTTCCGTTGGTGCTTTATCACCATTATGAATTGATTATTCTCTTTATCGTTCTCTTTCCGTTGCGAAGCACAGGTATGGCAGCTAGTATTTCCATAAACAAGTCATATTTATTCCTCATTTAAATAACTTTAGATTTAAGCGGGTACTCTACTTGTATTTTTAGGGGCGGGAAGAGGATAAAAAAATGTTTTTTTTAATTGTAAGACTATATTTAATTAATTGTAACAATGAATTTAAAGTTTTTTTAATGTAGGCCTAATAGTTAGGATAAAATAAATAAATGAGTACTGTGTACTGAATCTTAAATTTACTCTGAATGGTTATGAACGGTGTAATAGACTTTAACCGAACCATAGATTACTTGTTTTCTTGTTTAAGTGCCCTATTTATCATGACTTTATCATTTGATGATATTTTACAAGCAAATGACAAAGCCATATCGCCCGGTAGTTATTTTTTTGAAAAGCGAAGTCTGATTTCCGGACACGGAAAGTAAGTACTGTAAGTAGATTTGAATTACCTTTAACATTTTTAGCAGAGCAAAAAGTCTACTTTCAGTTCCGATTCAAAGATATAACGTCGAATACATGTATAGCCATTGATAATGGATTTTCCTCTCACGAAAACCATAGTAAATCGCCCTTATGAATCCATGACTCAAAACATTAATTGTTATTAATTTATTATTTGAATTATTAATCTACGAATCGAACCAAACATAATTATAAAGCTTCATGACTTTTTTAATCCAACTTACAAAGGGTGACGAGAATGAATAAAGGAAATGGCATTGATTGGCTCCATTGGCGGAGTGAGTGGGATTGGAAATGGACCATTGTTCATCGGTCCATTCCCATTTTCCCTGCAACGGACGGGACAAGCCGATAGCCGATTGCCGAACGAACCGGTAATGGCGAATGGCGGTAAACTGTGATCTTAACCTCAAATTTGATCGTGGAGGGTGATATTTGAGATTGTGACTATTATTAATTTGTAAGCGTGAGGTGAACACAACATGGGAGAGTTGTATATTTATGAGATTTTATAATATTCTTATCTATGGTTGACTCGTAATTATTGTTTGAGTTCATTGTTTTTATTAATGTAGGTACCCACCCTGTACCGTGTTATTAAGTTGGTAAGTGGTAATGTGGTAAGGTTATATTTTCTTTTTTACTCTAGGCTAGGCCTAATTTGTATTTTTCCACCGATTTCATGTGACATGTGACTTGCCTAACCAACACACAGCCTACTTGTTTTATATCTAATGCACAAAATTCATTGTCTATGTCTGATAATGTAAATGTTGAGTTCAATCCGTAGCAATGAAGTAAACCCAAAGCAATCTTAGCAACGAAGTTACCGACCCTTTGGCATTATTCAGGTCCATTGATGAAAATGAAATCCAGTACGATACTGTAGTCATGGCTTATAGCATAGGTAAAATCATTGGTAGACTTCTGGCTCTGAGGAGTGGGCATTTTTCCCTTAACACGTTCAGTGTGAGGGGCGGGAATTCTGGCCCGCGGTACGGCGCCTCTGGTGCGGGGCGGGAAATGCTGTCCTTCACCAATGCCAACAACTTTGCTTCAATGTGAGCTCAGCCATTGCCAGGGAACGAACGGTTGTAAGTTTATTGTTCCCAGCCTGTAGCTTAGAATGCGAGCTTTATTTTGGTGTAGGTTGGTAGCCTACTAAACATTCCCCTTAAAATCCCATCTGGCAATGCTTTTGTCCCGTTTTCGGGGATTTTCTCTATTCGAGCTATATTACAAAGACTCTGGTTATAGATCCAGGCAGTGCTGCTATCTTTGGGTGTTTCAGTGAACTACTATCACTTTCGGGGTAACGCAGAACAATCACCACTGCCCTTTTGTGATTCGTCTTACTGAGATATTTCAATGCCAATAACGATCGCTGATTCAGTTAGCGTGCAGGGGCTCCGCCGGGGCCTTGCCGCAGTTTAGGAGCGCCTGTGTAAAGGTTTTCAGCAGTGAACGTGTTAAACCATGTATTTACCCGTAAATGCTGTGGCAAGGGGACTGAAATTAATCCTACCCCCTATTTTTGGGGCGAGGAATTCAATCGGCCATCTCCCTACAAGCGGGCAGGCCCCCTTTTTTACTTAGGATATTAGGGGAATAATTTGTTTTTTCCCTAGGTGGATTCCTTTTATTTTTATGTTGGTTATCAGGTTATCCAAATTACCTAGTTTGTACCACTTATCTTGCCTACTTTTCCTGTTAGGGATCATAAACCCCATGAGTCAGCGGAAATGTTTGCAGTCTGGTGCAGTTTGGTCTGGTGGATCTCTTCATCCATCCCCTGCCTAGACTGCCTGGGCTAGGCCCAAGTGCCAGCTTACCGTACTTGTCACGAGCTTTTTATTATATAGGGCTTTGGGGAGTGACTAAGATGTTGCAATGCTCCAGGGAGACCCTTTATAGGCCTATCCATTTTGCCTTAGGTCCTATAGACTTTGCCCCCCTAATGAGTAAAAATGCGGGTCGTAGGGGGAGAGCGATGGTCCCATTGAACTTCTTGCCCCGATAATAGGGGTATACTTATATTCAGTCTCCCTGCATCATTTACAGGTAGGCCTAATACGAGGTTTTAGGGAAAACCTCAGAAAAATTCCAACTCCTCAGAGCCAGAAGCCTACCTAATCGGTAGGTTAACTCAAAAATAGTCGTGAAAGCATTGGTAGGCCTAACAAATTACCACAAATCTTTGATAGGTTGGCCTATTTGGCTCCATGAAATAAACTTTTCCATAGCAAATTAACTTCTTCTTAGTGCAGACTTAATTTCTTTTAGGCTGTAGGCCTAATTGATTAAATTATTCTTTAGGCTAATACACAAATGACCATGTTCTATTATCAGAAACGTCAAAACAAATCTTTTAGTTTTATCCTGCTTTTTAAATATACGAGTACCTATGTGAACTTGTTAGTTATATAAATTGGTCTAAATAGGCCTACCTGCTTCTGGGTTTAATCCAATAGTTGTGCAAAGTCACACAACTAGTTTCAACTTCATGATGAAGTCATTTTCAGACGTCCAGCGGATGTCACAATCACTTCATCAGAAGGTCGTCGATACACACCTGCAACTTATCCTCTATCTGTCGGTACAGTTACACCGATTAGGAGACGAATAAAAATGGTAACTTAGGGATATTGCGTCACACATTATGTCCATCTGGTTGTGACGCATTATCCCTAAGTTACCATTTTTATTTGTCTCCTAATCTTTGTAAATGTACCTTTTTACGTAACTATGTTGGTGTGCGTGTTCGTGTGTAAATATACTAGGTCCATATGTGTATCGACGACCTTCTCATGAAGTGATTGTGACATCTCCTGGACGCTTGAAGATGACTTCTTCATGAAGTTGAAACTAGTTGTGTGACCTTGCAACTAGGGATGAGAATATCAGTGACTTTAAAATATCACTCGGAACTGTGACTGTGACAAAGAAATATCGGTTAAAAATATCGGTGACTAGTCACAGCGATATATGCTACGGTGGCGCTCCGTGCGGTGATACTCAAAACTACGAAACTGTGACGATGCCATTGGCGTGCATCACTCGAACGGCTAACCCGCTACTTGTGACTGCGACTGTGACTGTGACTGCTCCAAACCCCGAATGACTGCTACTGTGATCTCGCGCTGTTGACGATATAGGGTGCAAAGCCCGCTCAAAGTACAGTAGTTCGCTCAAAATCCGAAGGATACAGAGAGCAGCACTTACAAGGACGGCGGATACAGCCCAGTCACAGCGCTCCTACAGTCGATATTTTTAACTAAAAGCCTGTGACTGGGGAACAGAGACTGTGACTCGCTCAGTCACAGCGCTGCTCGCGCTTCTACAGTCGATATTTTGAACTAAAAAGCTGCGACTGCGACTGCAAATGGTGAACAGAGACTGTGACTCCGGTAGCTGCTACTTTTGATATCGTGTCACAGACTGTGACTGCGACTTAAAAATATCGGTGACAAAATCACAGTCTGTGATTTATCGCTCATCCCTACTTGCAACTATTGGATTACACAGAAGTAGGTATTTCCACCAATTTATATATCCAACGTAATCCGGAGGCTTTCATCAAAAATGTTAGTTGTTATGTTACTTAACCAAAATAAACCTTACAAACAATTTAATGTTAATGTTGCTAACTAAGGCATATTGTTACAGATTATCCAGAGGGTAAACATTTTGAGGAAACTACAGTGAAATGTTGGTGAAATGAAAATATAGGTCAAGCTTATCAAAGACAGCCTGATTTAGGCAACTAAGAAGCAGAGACGCACAAACCTTAAATAATTCAACTAATCTTGGAATTAATTCACTATGGCGAGATGCAAATTTAGAGATGTGTTGTGGTATTCTTTATTGTTAATTAACATATCATTTGCAGTAGATGCCTCCAAATTAAACGTTCCGAGGGTTCTATTACCCTTATTTAATCAGTTTTCCACAAATTTTACTTTGGAAGTATCTGAGGACGGATGTTACAAATGGTAAGTTATGATAATTAGTTAATGCCTTAGTTTAATGGCTACTGTGAATTTTTAGCCTGTAGGCCTACGTACTTAAAATGATCAGCTGATATCAACTGTGTAGAAACATCAGTTCTCTCTCTCACTGTACCGCTGCAATAGGCCTATCAGGCCTAGCCTACCAGCCAGCAACAACTGCGGTCCTAGATTCGTTCGGGTGTCGACACTACTAGATTTTTAATAGCTGAGTAAGAATTAAATCTGGGATAGGTCTTCACATTTGATCTAAAAATGTTTTTTTAAGACTATACTAGTAAATGATTAGGCCTACTGTTCTGATTTAAAATGTATTTAAGTACCAAGGCCTACTTAGCTGGAGACCAAATACTACAGCCTTAGAACCTAGAACCTTTAGAACCTAAATAATATGTTATCGAATAAAGTACAAACATATATTGCTTTTATTACCTACCTTTTATTATTGTTGCCTGCGTTGGCGTTCTTTGACTAGTAGTTTGTCCATCAGTCTATGCACATTTCTCAGCTTTTGTGGCATCTTCACGGGGTCTTCTTATTCAATTACGAGGTCCTTATTTTCTTGTTTCATCATTAACATGAGTTGAAAATTAAGTTACCAAATATACAATCATGTAAATATATATTTATTTATTACATGCAAGGCAAACGCCATTTTACAAGAGAGTTGATTTGAGATTGATAAAAATTAAGTGTGACTTAAAGTGAAATAGTTATAGTGCGATCAATAATTAATATTAACAAATATGAAACGATAATTAATGGATCAAATTCCCTCATAAACTATAAAAGACTACACCAACTCTATTATTTTCAAATTAATTTACGATTTTTAAACTGGCAATAACAGACAATAGAGCACTCAATAAAAAAGGCACATCGCAAGGATAAAGCATCTTCCTAACCATAAGTTAAACCTAGAAAGCCCCCCTACCCTCAGCTGATGAATGTCCCAAATTCAATAGGTCGCTGGTTCGATCCTGAGAAAAGTCAGTAGCTTTTTGATGGTTCGAAACTAGACCCAGCTGTTCCTGATCGAATTGGGCTTTAAATAAATGATCCTGACTAATGAAACCGCTGATCTTAGACATGTAACAAAGCTACACAGGTCATCACACACCATTCTACACTCAAATTTGGGTTAAAATACGCACCTAGGTGGCATCCCCATCTTAATGATTGATAATTTTAGCACTCTTAGTAAGAAATTACGCCTAAATGGGAAAAGAAAGACCTTCCCCAAACATGACTCTGCTATATCCATGGTCGTGTTAACTTGTTTTGTCTGACTACAATACCAGTGGCGTGTGTAAATATTTTGTAAGTTAAATATATATATATAGACAAGGCTAGTGATAAGACAGAGATTTTATTTTTGTAATAGGTCTACAATTTTTTCTTTTAAATATTTGTTCTGCAGGACTTCATCAAGGCCCGACATAGTCCAAGTATCACCTCTCGATGCAGACATTGACAATGGCTGCTCGGTCAAAGCGGTTGTGTCGGCAATCACCAAAGAACCGACAAGAAACACCATCATTGTACTGGCCGAGGAAGTGAGGACGGGATACGTGCTGCGTTGTGATGTCATCGTCGATGTTATCAAGTCTCTAAGTATTGTAACAACGACTCGCGAACTCTTCATGGAAGAAGCTCCGGAGATGTTTGAAGTGCGTGCTTACGATAATCAAGGTAGGTCAAAGTTTTGCTTGGTCTCTGTAGCTATGTAAGTTCTCTAATAATATAATGTTTTTTCAAACACATTTTTAAAAACTTGATCCTGATAGTAATCTAATCCAATCATTTGGTAATTGGTACCCATAAATGTGACTTGTTTTAGATATTTTTTCTTTTTGAAAAAAAAGGTTTTATAGCTTTTGGAAAAGTTACGGTAGGTAGTAATTAAGTTGCAAATACCTATTCTAATATTATATATTTATAGTCATTAAAAACTTAACATAATTAGTTTTGTTTGAGGAAAGATCCTAGGCCAGGATTATGATTTTGATTTTGACAATAAATTTATAGCAGCTAGCACAACTCGTTCCTACACTTAAAAATATCTTCCAGTGGACAAAATTTTGTATATGTGTACCTGGACTTTTTCTAAGATTAGGTAGCTGCTATCGCTTTATTCTTAAACATAAACCAAAATTTAATTGATGTTGATTAATTAATGGTGTAAAGGCATGCTTATAAAATCTTAAATTGAATTTAGCAATTATTTTTGTCAACCATCTTCAAGCTGTACAAGAACATTTGTCTATTCTAATCGTCTTCTGCTGAAGACCATAACTTTAAAACTAAAACAAGAGTAGGCCTACAATGAAGAACACACAAATAAACGGCAGCTAATTTTCATTCTTTTTTTGTTGCATTGTTTAGTTGTCAGTTGCATTGCTGCAACGTGATTTTGCTATCTAGAATAGTTGTTTTTTTGTTGTTGTTTAACATGTAATGGACCATGTCAGTCCTCAAAGCTAGAAAATAATTAGCAGAACATACACTTGAACAACCTGTTTAACACTTTTAAATAAAGAAGTAAAAGTTTTACATTTTGAGAAGATTGTTAACTGTTTTGCAAATTTTCAAGGAAACCAGTTCACGACTTTGGAGGGAGTGGAGTTTCAGTGGTACATTGAGAATTTCCAGACTCCAGCTGCAAGTCAAGTCCTTCGGTTCATCACGTTTATTGACTCACCGTACGAAGTTCCACATTCCGTGGCCAAATTTGACTCTTTGGGGCAGCGAGGCAGCATGGTGCTGATAGAAGGGGTGAAAACCGGAGCGGCCAAGGTAACTAGGAAAACTGGTTAGGCTTGAAGTAGTTTTATACTAAACCTAGGTTCAAACTGTACTAAGATGAAATCTCTGCCAGGAGAAGACTGCTAAAGTAACTGGTGTTTAAAAAAAAATTAGGTCTGCATTACCTTTGAATTATGACAGATTCAATTGTTTACCAGGAGGAAAACTCAGGTTGAAGAATACTGCAAGGGAAACCAGACCTGTTTTTGACCATGTCAGCGCCATAGGCACAACTAAAAGGAGCGCCCCTTTGCAATATATAACAGGGTGACCACCAACTGGGAAATCCGGGAATTAAGCGTGAATTTTTTTGAACCGGGAACTATGTGTGAATTTTCTATTTCTACCTGGAATTGTTAATTTACAACAGTGACGTTTCCGTGACCACGGGAGACGGGAGGCGATTATATGTCTCCACAAGGCCTCGAGGGATGATCAGAACTTTGCCACGATCGCATGAGATGATGATAATATCAAACGACTGCGGGATATGATCATGATTTTACCGCGATCGCACAATACGATAATGAGATCCACAGAGCTGTGAAGGATGATCAGAATATTGCCGTGATCGCATGAGACGATGATAGTGACTAAACGACCACGGGAGAAAAACAACAAATTACAATTTTGCCTCATTCGCGGTAGACGGTGATAATCTCATCACGACCGTGGGATGTGTTCATACATTGCTGCCATCAAGGAAGACGATAATTATGTCCACACATCCGGTGGAAATAGTCAGAACTTTGCCGCGATCGCGGGAGACGGTCGATGATGACGTATATACAATTGCGGGAAATAATTAACATCTTGCCGCAATTGTGGGAGACTGTTAAGGTGTCTTCACGGCCGCAAAAGATTATCAGTTTACCGCGATCGCATAAAAAAACGGCCACAATTTTTTTTCTTTTTTCCAATTTTTTGGCACCCCCCAAAAAAGCCAGTTGCCCTGCGCCCTAGGCACGTGCCTACCTTGCCTATTCGGTAAATCGGCCCTGAGGGAAACCGCTTGTTACTATCTAGCTTGTTTATATACTTTATGGCCCATTTAGCATCACATATTACCATTTGCTTTTTTCTTTCTTATTCTTGTCTTTCATATCAGCTGTTCATCACTATTCTTATAAAACAGGAAATTCATTGTTATTTAAACATCTGTTGTGGAGTAAAAGAAAAGGCTTTATTGATTGCAAGTTTTTAAACATTTCCGATTCTAAATTGAAAGAACTTTATCTGCTGATACTTGTGGCTAAGTTCTTTAGACACTTCCATGATCTAGCTTAGGCCTAAGAAGCATTAAGTCTTTAGAACCTCTAGTTTATGATTATATACAATATCTCTTACCACGAAACCCATCAACATCTTCTGGTTCATCTTACAAAATTAAATTGCTTTTTTTAATTACCTGTTTATTGCTGTATAATGCCTGTACCTTTTTGTATGACTAGGTGTCAGTGCAGCTTCCCCATGCAGAGTACAGTGATGTGGCAAAAGTAGAAGTCGTGTTGACCGTAGTGGCCAACCTGCTTCTAGACCCCCCAGACACTCATATTTTGGTTGGCGACACTGTCAAGTTTCGGCTCTTGCAGGTAAGTGAATCTCAAGAAGAGAACAATAATCCTACAAACAAATACGAGGTAGAATAACTTAAAATTTTCCACCAAGTGTTTTCATACGCAGGATTTTTATCTGGAAAACAGGATATTCAGACCACGGGCAGTCTGATTAAAACGGGATGCAGGATAAAACAAGATTTTGGCTCAATATATTTCCTTTTTATAATGATTTTCATGTTTCATGTAAACCCAATTGATTAGTTTATTCCAGCCCAGTACTGTAGTAAAGTTGAAAGAGCTATTTAAATACGATAAAATATCTATTTAAATACGATACTAGAGCTATTTAATTATTATACACCAAAAACTTCACTCGAAATAGAACAGGAAAATACATGTGGGATATAATGTGATTTTAAAAAAATTGTATTAAAGCGGGATTTTCTCGACCAGATGAGTAGGATTTTTGTTTTGGTCTTGTGGATACACTGTTACCATAAAAAATTAACTTAAAACAAAGTTAACAAGTAATATGACGTTATTTTTAAAGATATTTCTTTGTTGGTTGATCTAAAATTATAGTAGGCCTATTGAATAAGTTTAAATCAACAGAACTCATTCTTTATTTACCCACATCAATAAAACCATGAAAAATATGACAAGGTGAGTTGTTGGCTCTATTCCGAGCTATTGCAACAATGTTGTTTATTTACCTCTTAATGCTATTATTAATGCATTAGGAACTAAACCTTTTACTGTTCCACTTTATTCCTTGCACTTTTAGACACATTCTACACACTTTGAAAACTTTGTGAGAACCACCAATTAATAAGTAGCACTGATGACCACCAAATTACTCAAGTTAAAAATGGTCTTTAAGTGACAATATTACAGTTTAGTTACATTGTAGATGCAGAATGGCAGACTGGACGAGATATCGCTACCGTCTCCGCAGTATGTACTGGATGTAGAGGATAGTGATGTGATCGTGATTGACGCTTCGGTGTCTGTTGTGAGAGGTCTGCGTCTTGGACAAACTAGAGTGGTGTTGCGCGATAGACACAGGTAATCAACCACTGATAAGCTGATTAGAGAAGTAAACCTTTGCGATAATAACAAGTGAACATTTATAATTTGAGTGCTGTCAAAATTCATGCGTAGGGTTGTGTTAAAACTAGAGGTATTCAAGCCTGGGATTTACGATTCAGATTGCTTGAACCTCAAACTTTTTTAGAGCCCTGCTTTACTATATCATGAATTTTTCGTCGGCTAATGGCCATGAAATAAATTTTTGGTCACTAACAAAAAAAATTCAATCCAATGTTATAACTTAATGGAGTTTTAGCCTCTATATGAATCAAGGATTTAGGAATGTCACCTCATCTTATTTTTTTTTCTGAAAACTAGTGAGGTCATAGACTAAACAAATATTCAAATTATAAATATCTATTCCAACAATAAATAGCTTTATACATTTTTTTATGTTCCATAAACTGAACTTACTAATGCATTACCAGCTATTATTTGAAATATGAGTAGGCAAATAGTTTATGATCAAGACTTAATTTTTTTTTTTAATGGACTGAATAAACATTTTACACTAAAATATTTCTTTTATTCGTCATCATCTGATTTTACTGAGCTGCTGTAACGCTAGTTAATTTTTACAGGGTACTGGATGGGGAAACAGGTGTAGTCAAGCTACCTACAGCTACTGTTGTTGTAACAGAACCTGCTCATTTACGTCTTGCACTGCAGCCACATAACAACTGGGCTGTGTTAGTGGACGAGCCTTGCACCATTCAAGTTCTGCTGTACGACAGGTAAATAGTCAAGCAGTAAAATCATTACCAGTAGCGCTAGGCCATATCACAATACACCACTCTTAGCACTGAAAACATACTACTATAACCCAGAATGCCAACCGCATGGTAAAAACCAGTGTTTTGAGAGAGCTTTGCCTGTCAATTCGTAGGCAGCGCCACCAGCGTTGCTATGCTGAGTGCATGGCAACGCTGGTGGCGCTGCCTACGGATTGACAGGCAAAGCTCTCTCAAAACACTGGTTTTTACCATGCGGTTGGCATTCTGGGTTATAGTAGTATGTTTTCTGTGCTCTTAGTGAGAACAGACAGTATGACTGTTTCTGGTAGTTGCATTATCAAAAGAAATAGGCTATACGAATCATTAACAGTAGCAGCAGGCAAGACCACAATAGACTACTTTGTGTGAGTACAGGCGTTATAGTGTTGACTCAACAAACTCTCCCCTCTCTTGGTCATATGAAGAAGTGTGTGACCACATGTAAGATTTAAATCCTAAATATATACTTTTAATAGGTATCCTGTGTTGTTGTTGGCCAGTGATGGTGAATAGACTGTGCCAATATAAATCTTCTCTAACCTATAATTTACAACTGATTCATATTAACTTTGATACCTATCACGCCATGGTACACCTGACATAGCAGACACCTCAATGAGAAGTACACCTGGACAACAATTTTAAACCAGTTTCCTTTAGCATTCTTCTCAATCTATACATTATTACTGTAGCCAATCCACCTGTGGCCTACATCTTCTTTCACACTCGATGTCTGATTGTTTCAGGAACAACCACAAGATCCACATCGGAGACTCTGTCTACATTCGGACAGAAGTCTCGGAGAGTTACTTCCGCACAACCGACATGACCCGGAATGGTACCGTGGTGGACGGTGTCACTGTTAAAGTCGGCACTGCACCAGTCACTGCTACTCTAGAGACGGTCCGTACTATCGGCGGCACAGAGGTCAAGTTCAAACCTGTCATAACCGCACAGGAGGACATGTTGATATACCCGCGGTTGCAGGTTGTGCCTGATCATGTCATCGTTCCATGGGACCCCAGTGTAACCAAGTGAGCGGAATTTTTGGTTTATAATTTAAATTTTTGTTCTTGAAAAAATATTTATACTGAGTCAAACCAGTGTAATTAGGACATTAGAGTGGTAACCTCATATACTGTATACAACTATGGTAATGCTGGTGTAGCTCCTGAGATCACCATGACATCATATCAACTAATCATATAACAGGGTGTCTACCAACCGGGAAATCCGGGAAAACCTGGAATTGTACTTAATTTTTTACTGGCCATGAAATGTACGGGAATTGTCCTTAGATGCCAGACTAAGTCCTTAAATTTTTAATGGGCCATAATTTTATCGATCGCTAGTTGGTTAGGAGCACATAAAAGGTTTATCAGATGTTTGTTTACATTTTCATAATTTATTACTAGAGTAATTATGCAATAAAAACCCCATTGGCAGTCTCAAACCCATTAATGTTTTATCACAACAATCAAATGTCAAGTCAAGTACTTCCAAGAACTGTTGACTCACTAGTAGTTTAACTCATAAAAGTTGTATCACTTTTATTCCTTTACAACGTATTTATTTATTACTAGGGTAATCATTATTAGATCCCAAACATATTTTATCATGGAAATAATAGTTTTATAATGGCTGTTAAATTTCACTTCTTTCTTGTACTTCAATTTGCCGCTGGCCATTGCCTAGTGCCATAAAACTGTTTATGGTTTCACATAAAACATGTAACTAATCTTAAACATAACTAAGTTAAACCCTTTTTTATGGATATTTTATCTTTCAATTGACAAAACCAAAAGCATTGTTGTTTGCATTAAATTTTTATCACTACCTAGGCCTACTTGGTTTCAAATTATGTCATTGCATTTTCTGTATCTTTGTACATTGTTGGCGGTCAGGTTTCATTTTTTTTTATTTCCCATATTTATTTATTGCATTGTGTGCTTTAAGCAATCTAAATCTTATGAACTAGAATGATGATATTGTAGTGACTTTGCTGACATTATAACCTCATTGTTTGTTACTCAGTTTATATAGGCCCTCCTAAATAATTAGGCCTAGGCCTGGGTATTTTGATTCTTTGAAAGTGCTGTAAAATATACTAAGAAAATGTAATTGAGCCTAAGATAAACTAATGATTGCTATGTGTCGATATTAACTTTGCAGATGAAAAGACAATAATCTTACTCTGTGCTTACTGGTAGCCGCTTACCATACCGATTTTGTACCTAGAACCGAGGTAAAATATATTCATTATGCATGAAAGATTTTTTTTTTTTCAAAAGTAGTTGAGAACCTAACGTTGTGCCAGGGCGAATAATGCCAAATACTTTTCTCTCTGGAACAACTATACATTGAAGAACAAGATTAATACAGTTTGACAAATCAGGAATATTATTCTGTAATCACACCGACAAAGGTCCTTAAATGTACGGGAATTGTCCATGAATTTTTTATCCAGAATGTAGTAGACACCCTGATATAAGCATTTTTTATCAAACAAAAATGATACAAGCTTATGTTTCAATCAATAGGTATCCTACAAAAAGCAAGCTAGTTCACTTTGACTATTTTTCTGTACCAAAACAGTGTTAGCCTTAAATAATGGATAGTTACTGTCTGTTTTCTGTATTTAAAGGTGATTCAATTAAATTGTACCAATTGCTTTTATGATAGCCATAGTAATGAAGTGTTTTAAAATGAAAAGGAATATAGTTAACTTACGGTGTGAGAAAATTAGAGTGCAGGGCTAGGTAATAAATATTATGCAACAAAATGTCCTAAAAGACTGGTATCTCGTCCTAATCTAAAAATTCCTGCGGGAGAAGGTTTTAAGACAGATTATCAGTGTTATATTTAGTTAGGTACCTTGTAGATTTCTTAGTCCAAGGACTTTGATTTTCTCTGGTGAGCTAACTGAAGTCTATCACAATTCCAGCCACTTGTTTAATGTGAACTTAACAAATTTTATGCATTTCAGGTACGAGGTAGAACTAAAAGCTAGTGGTGGTGATGGCACTTACATCTGGAGATCCTATGATACATCAGTAGCCACAGTTTCTCAGTCTGGAATTGTCAGATCTCACAGCTTAGGAGAAACTCAAGTAGGCGTGGCAATGTCTCGTAACCCTTCAATCAAGGCTTTCTCTCACATAGAAGTGTTGCCTCCTTCCCACCTGGAGATCCTCAAACATGTTCTAGAAGCTCCAGTTATGAAGCCAATCACTCTGCACATCGTGTTGTATGCAGATAGGACTGACAAAAACGGAAACTTAGAACGAATTCCGTTCACAAATTGCCAACAAGTTCCGTTCAAAGTGGAGTTGTCGCATGACAATTTCTACCACAATACGACTGCCCGCGCTAAACCTGTAGGTAAGGCTTGTGCAACAGTAACAGTGTTTGGCAAAATAGTCGGATCTACGAGGGTGAAAATTTCGTATAGAGTCAAAAATGTGGTTTTGGAAGCGGCGACTGACGTGGCTGCCTATAGTCCTTTGGAAGTGGTTCACCCTGAGAAGAGGGTTACTGTTTTGGCTTTGGGTACATCAAGAGATATTGTATGGAAAGGCGGACCACGAGTGTGGTTGGGTAGACCCGCAGAACATGTACGTTCCATATCTGCCAACACGACTACAGGAATACACATAGGGGAAGTCACCTCAGCGAGCCCGTCAGAGTTCTATGTTTACTCGGTGGTGTGTAAAGTCATTGGGGAATACAGTGTAGAGCTCTCAGTTAAAAATGCTGCAGTTGATGGGAACTCGAAGTACAGAGAAAGCGTTTCTACTGTAAAAGTTGTCTGTGCGAACCCTCGTTTTATTTCATTCTCTCCTGAAACACCTGTCAATGAGTCCTGTCCTTACAGCGCAGACTCGACCCGAATGGTCGCCTTGAACTATGAACCAATCAAAATCATTGTGACAATCACCGATGCCCTAGGAAGAGTTTTTGACAACGCTACTAGCTACAATATAGATTGGTATTTATCTAGTAGCTCATTGGGGTATGTACAATTTGATGGTATGGTCGTTCTAGAAGATGTGAAAGAGTACAACTATCTAATACCACTGTATCATTACCAGATAATCCATCCGAGAAACCAAACAGGCACACTTATAGTGGAAGCTACTGTCAAGAGCTACAAAATGGTGATGCTAAGTTATTTCAAAATCACTCCTGACATTCCTGTTTTTTGGGTTAAAAGTGAAGTGGGTGAAAGTCTTTCTTCAGTGATTAAAAACTCGTTGACAATTCTATGGGTGGACGCCTCCCTAGTAACACCTGCACGAGCGACAGTGTTCAATCATCCCAACAACAAAGTTACACTGAGAGTCAGTCATGGCTCGGGTTTCTTCAACATCCATCAGAGTTCTACAGACATCGCAGAAGTTCAGTATCACGATGGTGTCAAGACTATTGAAATATTCCCAAAATCTGATGGCCTTCTTCATCTGAGAATCGTTGATCTGTGTCTGTCATATGACTCTCCAATTGTTGAAATACAGGTAAATTCACTTATACATCAGTAGTAGTAGTTTTATCTTGACATCATTAATACTAAGTTTGTGACATTTTTCGGTCCAATCAATTTCAATTTGAAAACCGGTGTCACAAGGCAACCATGGCGCAAGCCATCGTAGGGTGGATGCACATCCCGCCATTGGGCCAAACTAGAGGGCTAAATTTTGGATAAGGATAAGTGACGTAAATCGGCTGATTTTTAAGTAAAATTACGTAATTTTAAAGTACATTGGTAATTAAATAATCGTTAAAAATCGGCCGATTTACATCAAATTTAAAATCAAATTATTGACATTTCTAGGTGAATCTCAATAAAACTATTATTTTCAATGATTTTTATATATTTAAAAAATTTATTTATGGTATTTTGCGGCACGAGCGGCACTAATGAGGGTCGAGCCACCTCAGGGGTGGACAATAGACGGATTATCAGACCCGACCCTCCCCAGTGGTCCGGCGATAGCTTGTCGTTGACTATTCTTTTATTGTTTTCTGAACAATGATTTCTAATTGATGTATTTTTGGGGTTTTTCATATAACATTTGTGTTAGGCTACATACAAGAAGAGTTTGCCTAATATATTACAGTCTATATCATTCTAAATAAATATTAAGAATAGTGTTGGCCCCAGGATGGAACCTTGAGGAACGCCGTACCTGATATTATTCCATCCGGACAAGAACTTGTGACAAATTTTATAAATTACAATGCGTTGCTTTCTATTTGATAGGTAGTTTGAGAGAAGTTGCAATATCTGACCACCAATCCCTACATTCTTCAGTTTACAATAATAATTAGTGTGGTTATTTAAGCTTGTTGTAACTTATTACAAACATTTAAATAATTGTAAATGTCCATTGTGTAGTAAGTTTTACTAGAAAGAGCAAGATTACTTAATATGTACTAGAAAGATTTTGTGATCATTGAACATCTAGGCTATAATATAGGTTATATAGGCTAAATATGTTTACAGAATAAGGCTATATCCTGGACAATGTTTTTACCATCCATATTTATTTACTCGTAGGTACTGAAGGTGGGCAGCATGCAGGTCGAGATGGTAGATAGAGTACAGCAAGGCAGTACCATTACTGCGGTGGTGTGGTTGTATGACACAGTCGACAACGCACTCTCTGTGTCTGACTCTGATCTACTAGAGCTGCGGCCTCATCTAGATAGTCAGCTGGTGACCATCACACGTCTGACAGATGACAACACGGACGGGCTTGTCAGGTTTAACATCACCGGATTGGAATTAGGCTCGACGGTGAGTTTCTCCGCTCTATCTTAAATGTAGAAAAGCTTAGAAAAATTACAAGAGTTCTGTATCTTGTCTAAGTAAAATAAGATTCTTAATTTAGGAAAAATATCAGTGTGTTTAGTTCTGTAATCTTTCATTTGTGTATCTATTCTAAGAGTCAGGACTCCCTAATACTTTTGACTCAGATCGGGCCAACCAACCGTTGACCTGAGAGATCTGTTTAGAGTAATTTATTATTTGGTTTAATTATTGAGTTATTTGGTTATTAAGTTTAAACAGTTAGGATTATTGAGCCTTCCATCTCTTTATATATATTCATGCTTACTGTTCATTCAGAAGAATTTTGACCTTCTTTGTGGACAGCAGCATTTACATGCATACAACTTAAGGTGCAAAGACAACTTTCAATACCAAATACATAACTTAACAATCTATGAAATGGGCCCTTGTTACATGGGTAGGGTATGAAGTTCTTTAATAATCTACCAACAAACATTAAAAGCCAAATCCGTTTAAAGAGATTTAAGAATACTCTAAAAAGTTATCTTTTAAACCAAGTATTTTACTCTGTAAGTGACTTTAAAAAAAATTAAGCAGATGAACAAAATCATCCTTATTCTCTATATGTAACTGTTGTTTTAGAGTCAGACAAACCAGTTTAATAGCTTTGCTATGTACAAATGTTTTTATGTGTCAATAAAGTGAATTTGAATTTGAATTTGGAGAAATAATTGTTGAGCTAAGCTCGGTTCGGGTCATTTAAGTTAGAGGTTTGCAAGCGGCTAGAATTTTTGCAATGGCTAAAATGTCTGAACCAAAATTGAACATTTTTGGCATGATCCCAGGAGACTAATGATGTCCCAGCGATTTATAAAAAAAGTCATTAAAGCTCTGAAAATTCTAATGAAACGCTTCTGTTAATTTTTTTCAGCAGCTACCTCTCTAATAGGGGGAGCGAGCTGGCGTAGTGGTTAGAGCGCGGGACTTCAGTCCCTGAGGTCCCGGGTTCGATCCCTGCCAAGTCACCAATGGATTTTATCTAAGTGATAATGCCGCAACCCCTAGGTCTAGCCTGAAGTAATGTGAAAAACAATCCCAGGCTCGTGCCTAGCGTCCTTAGGACAAAAAAAAAAAAAAAAAAAAAAAAAAACCTCTAATAGGCTACAGACTGTCTCATTCGGTGAACATTTAAACGATGTATTGCCAGTGGAGTATGGTGTGGTCCAGCAATCGACACTTGGCCCTGTTCTATTCGTAATTTACATTAATAATATTTCTAAAATTCAATAATATATTTAGTTAAGATATTTTTATTTTTCAAAAGGTAATTTAGCCTTAAATAGGACATAAAATGCAATATTTCCTTTCTTTTACATTAGGCGGAATTAGTTTTGATAATTTACGATTTTTCTTATGTCAACAGTCAATAAGTTTCACCAGTGGCTATGGAGAGAGGGAGATACGCAGTCACCCTCAACCCCTCCAGGTGTTCCCTCCCTTGCGGCTGTTCCCTCATCAGCTCACCCTCCCCGTGGGGGCGCTGTTCCAACTGACGACTGTGGGGGGACCCAAACCCGACACTGCTATGGAGTTCACCTCATCCGACTCAACTATTGCTAAGGTAGGCCTTATCAAATCAAATCCTTCATTGTCATTGTTATTCATAGTATAAAACATATGGTAACATAGGTTTAATGCATAAAACAATAAAAATAAAAAAATTAAAAAGTTCAAAGTTATAGGCTAGGTGGAACATATCGGATAAAACAATCAAAATATCTAAACCTAATGTATTAATAAAACTTAATAAACTAGACATCTGCAAGACATAAATTTTAGGTGGAGGCGAAACTAGCAGTACAATAAGTTTATTGGCAGGCCTACTGTTTTTTATCAAAAAATTTTGATAATTGTTCTGTTAAGGTGATTTAATACAAATAAATACATGTTAAAGAATGAAAAAGTTTGCATGATGAATTTACTTGATACCTAATAGGAATAAATGTTTGGATTTTGACTACTTTCCCCAAAATTAAGGATGAGTCGATTCTCGATACAAACGATAGTTGGACATTGGGTTCAGTATTGAGAATTGGTCGTCAAAAGTCGATTCCAATAGCGATACCCAACTCATCTGCGAAGATGGCTTGATCGGAAAATTGCCGTGATCGCGCAAGATGACAAAGATGATCTCGTGACTGTGACGCCTGCCTCTAAGCAACGATGTAGAATTAGAACACCCTAAAACTTACGGGACAGAACGTGTTGTTGTCTCATACCCAAGGGATGGGATGAGTAGGGGCGGTAGGAGAAGAGCTTGTGGTCTACTAAGTTCTTTTTGTATTTAATCCTTCTTAATTGAAATATTGTTAAAAATAATCTTCATATACCTATTTATAATTTGGATGTTATAATATCTAAAAAGTTCGGCCTTAACAATGTTGTGCATGGATTGTATATTGAATATTTCCCAGGTTAATGGAGCTGGCCTCATAGAAGCACAGCGAGTGGGAGACATGACTGTGACTGGTTCTGCCATTGGTTACTACAAGTCTACTGGCAGCAAGGTGGTCTACAGCAAAGATACAGTCAATGTGCACGTCATTCCACTTGAGGGTAAGACTTTTTACATTTCCTTCCTCCACACATAGTCCTAGTGTGTCACAGCTAAAACTATTGGTGTTTGGCGGGATTTGAATCCAGAACCTAGGGATCCAAACTCCCACACTCCAGACCAGCTCACTCCCCTGGGGGTAAAATGGTAGGACTCTTTCAACCAAAAGTACATTCTTCTAAGTAGTCTGTGTACAGGGAACTGTGAACCCAAAAGTTGGTACGTCTCCTAAGCCTGACTGATGCGGAGGCCAATCCTTTATGACTGCCGCTCAACTGAGTCCACACTAAAAGAAACCAGGGAGCCCAATAGCAAAAATTATTTTTCTTCAATACTACAAATACAATTAAAAAATATTTTTACCTTAAAATTTCATGCAAATCGGTTTGCACATTTTATTTGCATACATGTTTTATCCATTATACTGTGTCAGGTGTCAAGATCCACAGTCCACTTGTGAAGCTACAGGTGGGCTGCAAGATGCCTCTGTGGGCTGCTGGGATACCTGACAAACTCACCCCACTGGTCCTGGGCTCTATACAACCACCTCTAGTGTTCAGGTGGTCTACCTCCGTGCCGGACACTGTGCAACTACAAGATGTCTTCCACGGGACAGGGCTCGAGGTAAATTGGCATTTTGACTATCTGGGTTCATAAACGTATAGGCTATGTAAAATCAGTTGTGTAAACTGTGTAAATGTTTAAGATGTGTACCTTAACACTAGAAAAAATGCTGTTATAGTCAAGTGAAATAGTTAACAGTAACAGAATGTTGTCTTTTTCATTAGCACTAGCTAAAGGATGTTTAGACCAAGAATTATGATTCACGCATACCTGCAGAATGGAGCTCTAGTTAATGCGGGTCTGCTGGCCAGGTAGTGGGGGTTCCAGTAAAAAGTGATGATCTTCAAGTCCCATTCCAAAATCGGCGATAAAAACAAAACATGCATCTACCGTGATCACAGTAAATTGTGAATGTCTCAAGCGGTTGTGATGAAATCATGAACTTATCCCGTGATGGCGGTAAAATTGTGAACGTTTCCTGTGGTCACAATGATAACGTGATCATCTCCCGTGATTGTGGTGATATTGCGAACATCTATCATGACAGTGATATCGTGAACGTCTCTGTAACCTATTTATCTGAATCGTGAACTCGTGGTATTTATCTGGATAAGACCTTTTTTTGGGGATCTCATATCAATTACATAGGTTCTAAGCTTTCAAGATTATTTTGTCAAAAATTATTTTAAAACAGCCTATTTTGCTTATTTTCAATCTTTCAGATACAATATTATCTTTTACGGCAATTGCAGTAGGATAGAGGAAATTTTTGTCTTACAAAAGAAGTTAGTTAGAAGCATTTCTCAAACCCAGCACCCTTCCAGTCCACTTTACACCCAGTATGTCAGACTTTATTGTCCTGTCTTATAACTAGGACAAGCTCCATTAATATAACTAATTTAGTATGATCTTTCCATGATAAAAGTTATTTTTTCAGATAGAATTTAAGAATCTGGTACATTGTTGTGTTTCTATTAAGCCCAAGTTACTATCCTACAAACTACACAAACCCCTATAATTTCCTATTTACTTTGATTTCTTATTACCCTGTTACAGGTGCCTGAAAAAGACAGATTGTCTATGAGAGTGCTTGGGCTCAAGCCTGGCCGAGTCACTGTACATCTCAACGTAACCATGAGGACAGCTCGGCACAACGTTGAGTTCTTTGACCAACTTGATTTAGAGATATACGAGGATCTGTCCCTCACCAAGCCTGACAACTACAAGGCGTCAACACTACTGATGGCTCCGTTCTCTCAGATGCATCTACGCACCAACAAGGACTCTGTGAGTAAAATTTGTTGTTAGAAACGTGACAAACATCTTGGTAGAGAACAATTTTGTAATACAGTAATTTATTTAAGGAATGTATTTAACTAGTGAAAGTAAAATTCTTGAGTTTTGAGCTCAAATCCTAAAACAATCTTTAAATGTTAGCGTATTAGTTTTTTGAGGTTAAAACCCCCTTAAACATGGTTCTGTGGGTATCTCATTTATTAAATTAATTTATTTCAGATTGTCCATTCAACCACGAAACCATAAATCGTACAAGATTTTAATTACCCAAAAAAGTCTGAGGATTGTTATGGAATTTTGTATAGAACCTGATCATCAATGGCCAATGGCCGGATATCCATTCATGATTGGTTTTACATTGGTTTTCTCTAATTGTCATTGTTTGTGGTTAGAAATTCACACTTAATTGTGGATGATAGTTACAGATGTTGCTGTGATTGGGGGAGATGATTGATGTTTCCATGATTGCTTACTTAGGCTGGGCGCACACCAGATGTGCGCATGCGCGAGGATCGGCACCACATGTGGCACAGTGACAGCATTTGTCGAAAGCAGTGGGAACTTCTCTGTTGTGTATGTCTTGCTGTTGCTGTGCTGTATGCAGCTCTCCTCTATCGGGCACCTCGCCGTGCAATGGTATTAGGTGTGCGGCCGACCTTACGTTCCATGGCAAGCTAGACACTATGTACTTGCAATTTTTCATTCACTCCCTACCTAGTTCAGTTTATTTTTTGAAACTTGCAGGTGAGTGACATAACCTACAGTGTCGTCGGGTTGTCTGAGGACAGTCGTAGCACACAGAATACAGCTCTCACACAGTCAGCTCCTGTGGTGTTGGTAAGCAAGTCAGGCACTGTGGCTGCGTTTGGTGTCCTCGGATCCGCCTCGGTGCTCATTCACTCGATCGAGGACAACGGACTCAAACAGAATCTGCCGGTCAACATTGAGGTAAGGCTGCTACTGGGATATGTTGATAAAGGAATCGTATGGATGTGGTGTCAAAAGTATTGTCCTTGGTGCGTTTCTAGTGTAGTTGTTCGCGTTATTCAAGGGAAAGGATTGTTATAGACAAAATATAGACTGTTTTTATGATGTTTTGGATCTGGAATCTGATTCTGTCTATAGGTGAAAAAGTATCCACAACATCCCAAGATTAGCACACAAATCACTGGAAAACCACAAAAGAAAACATCACAGAGAACTGTATTGCAGTCAAAAAAGAAATTGAAAAAACAAAGTAACGGATGCTGTCGCAAGTTTTTCAGACTTTGGTAGCAGAGGGGCTCGTTTAATCCCTGGCATTCACAGAAATTTTAGAGGCATGGACCACTTTCCCAAGCGTTGCCAAAATGCCACTGAATCATCTACTCATAAGAAATTAAATTATGGTCGAAGTTTCAGGGGTTGTTTTTATGTGTAATATTTTGTGTATACAGTTTATTTGTTTAGTGTTCATAAAATAAAAACAAGTTGATTTCATTAAAAACCAACTGACCTAGCTTGAAGCGAGGTAGCTGGGTGTTTATTGTACTTCCTTGTTAACTAGACAAGCTTGTATAACTAAACTACTTACCCCCAGTTTGTTCACAATGTGTTTAACAGGTGAAGCCGGTCCACTATGTGATGCTGAATGTAGAGACCAAGTTGTCTGTTGGTTCGGGCAAGGTAATCACAGCCCTACCACGAGGACTAGACCTGCAGTTTGTATTGAGCTATCATGACACTGCAGGGCAAGTGTTTGCTGCCACACGCACGGACATTCGCACCCAGCAGAACAGATTTGACTGTGTAAGTAACACAGAAATATAATAGGCTAATGTTCCTGGAAAAAACCTTATCTGTCAACAGAATTTTATTTCAAGGATTTTGTGGTAGTATGGATGAACAGCAGGATTTCCTTACTGACGGATAGAGTTGAAGTAACATTTAACACAAGTTAACACATGAAACATCGAATTTTCAAAACTACATGCACCTTTTTCTAGTTGGTTAGTTGTTTCTTGTTTTAAGCTGTCCTCTGATTAGCTATGTGTTTATATGGACTCAACTCTTAATCAGTAAGGCAAGCCTGCTGTTCATCCTATCCACTACAAAATCCTTAAAACCTGGCCTAAAGAGCCGTCTGTATCATTTAATGTCAATATTTGATTTCATATAGGCCTTTTTTTCTTTTAAATATTTACTATTTAGATTGACAATAACTCACAAAACTTTCTTGATGTTATTAGATTGAATTTAGTTATTTAGGAAACAAATTTAACTGTTTGGCTTACAAGAAATTATATTTTTCGTTCATATTTCAGCGAGTTAGATCTGAGTTGTTATTTCAACATAGGTACATTTTTTATGTGAAATTTGATGGTGAGTTTGTTACTTGTAGGTTAAGGTAGTGCGGGGAGAAGTGAACGGAACTGTGGTAGCCAGTCTGGTAGACTATTGCTCATCAGTGCTAAAAGTTTGGGATGCTGGCACCATCAAGGTAGCGCAAGACTATGTCAAACTGAGAGTTGACCATCTGATCAGTCCATCCAAGGTAATCAAATATACCTACTTTGTAATATGTATGTATTCTATGAGTGATGGGTGATGAGGTTCTCAAAGACAAGTTGTTTACATACTTATGCTCCTTTATCTCTGTGAAATGCAGCTGAGTTAAGGTGTTACTTTGAATAGGATTTTAGGTTTTGCTCTTACACTCGGTAACACTGATGTGATAATGTATCTTCCATCACCGAATCCTATTGATTTAGAGTCAATACGAGGGATGTTCGTAAATTATACTCCTGTAAACGAGCTAGTTTGAATCTGACACCAGCTCTGTGTTCTCCCACTACTATTACAGCTGCTCCCTCCTATGTGGTTGTTAGTTAATCTCGTCAAAGTTGCCAATAATGATTTGGGAAAAATCAACGAGACTAATCATCGCATAGGAGTGTGGGAACCGGTTAGAATTGTAGTAAGGAACACTTCGCTGGTGTGCTTTTTAAACTAGTTTGCTTGGTCATAACTGAAGCTTGTTGCAAACATAAATTTTTAGACAAATCACCTAGATTCTAAATCAAAACAAAGATTTAAATGATTAGTTAGCAAAAGTTTAACTACTGGAATTAACTTTGCTTATTAAAAATTACATTTTTTCAACAGAGTGAGATGACTGTTGGAGACGTGGCGTGTTTCTCCATGCCGCTACTAGACAGGTCGGGTGAGGCGGGTGAGTGGACCTCGGGTGCACCCGAGGTGCTGACTATGGAGGCACCCACGGGTGTGGCTCGGGCTGTGAGGCCTGGTCAGGCACTCGTCAGGTACAAGTTGAAGAACTCCATAACTACATCCACTCTGATACGTGTGCACCCGATACAGGCGGTGAGTATAAACAATACAGCTTTGAATGAATTTCCGTGGAATAAGAAAGTAAGGTTTACGGTAAAGACTTATTTCATGTTTAATGTCATAACTGAAACTAGGCTGTGAATGTTGTGATGAATTGAAACTGAGTTGCTTGTCAATTTCAATACTTGTAAAAAGTATGTAAAGTTTTGAGGAATTTTGTCAATCAGAATAGCAGGCTTACTAGATTTAAAAATAGTCTACTGTGGTACAAGAAACACAAAGATTAGAAAACTGTACTGTAACTGACGGAATATAGAAACCAAGAAAATGCATACTTCATGGATTCCATTAGACCTAAAGAAGAGAGATTCTGAAATGTCGAAACACAACCAATAGGTTGGGGGGGTTGGAGCCCGTCTACGGAGACCCAAACTTTTCCCCTTCCCCTCAGATGAGCCGACGCAGTCGCAGATAGTCGGCTGATCAATTTAGTCCCGTAAATAGTACAATAGTAAGCCTTAGAGGGAATAACAAATTTGAAATGATAATTGCAGATAGTGTTTTTGTCGCTGAACAACCGTAACTTGACCAACTGGGGATCATTCTCAGTGCCGCTGCTACTGCTCAGTGACCATGATTCTGTGGAGAAGTCATCTAATTTGGTGAGCCCCGCTTGCCCCGCCTTAGCCTCTACCAAGCCCCAACAGCTGCCCTTTAGCTGCGAGATACGGTTCAACAGCCCCATGACCCCCGTAGACATACACCATGTGTTCAACGTACAACCCAGCTTTGACACCCACACTGGTAAGTTAAATTTGCCACGGTACACATATAAAAGCCAAAGAACATTAATTGTATTCCTATTGATACTTTATTAAAACATTTACACTTTCCTGTTGTTGAAGTTGATTTTAAAATGGACATACAGTAGACTCCCTCTTATCCGGACTCCTCGGGACCGAAACCAGTCCGGATGACGGTTTTTCCGGTTAAACCGACGTCGCCAAAAACTCGTTAAAACGGACCGTTTAAATGAATACTGTATACAGTATTTGACTTAAATTTAGGAGAGCATTGTATTTAGACACGTGATCACTGGTCTCAAATCTTTCTCACGAGAACAGTCGTTTTAGTACCGCCCACTTCCTGCCGAACTAGTCCGGTTAAACCAATGTGCTGATAAAACTTGTCTGGTTAAAGAGATGTCTTTTCGCCGATTGTAGTCCGGTTAAACCGATGTCAGGTTAAAAGGTGTCCGGATAAGAGGGAGTCTTATGTACAAACATTTCTAGTCCTCTCTTTGTTTTTTTTTTTTAGATTTAGCCTATTTAACTTGCTGCTACGCGATATGTGGTAGAAATAGCTTGCTTCCTTGTTGAAGTTGATTGAAAGTGATATTTACGTTTTTGTGTTCACTTATAAACCGTTTTATTTTATGCAAGTTTTTTTGTACGCTGTCAAATAATATCTTTATTGATATTTTTTGGTATCAAAATAACATGTTGTAGCTTAAAATGGAATCCATGCGAAGTCAACAAATATCTAAAAGCTGTGGTGTGAATTGTGTATTGCAGGACTGTACTCGTGCTACTTTGAAGCTCTAGGAGCTGTCTCTGCCAACACCAGTGTACTGTCTTCAAACGTGACTTTGCGAGCCATCAGTGACTCCTTGGTGTCTGAACCTCTAGTGATACCGTTCCTACCCTCAGTATACCTCCCTACGCAGGAGTTGCTACTGACAGATCATCAGAGCTGGGTGTTGTTGTCTGTCATAGGAGTACCTCAGGTGCTGGCTCATGTACAGGTATGTCTACATCAGTGTCTGAACCTCTAGTGATACCGTTCCTACCCTCAGTATACCTCCCTACGCAGGAGTTGTTACTGACAGATCATCAGAGCTGGGTGTTGTTGTCTGTCATAGGAGTACCTCAGGTGCTGGCTCATGTACAGGTATGTCTACATCAGTGTCTGAACCTCTAGTGATACCGTTCCTACCCTCGGTATACCTCCCTACGCAGGAGTTGTTACTGACAGATCATCAGAGCTGGGTGTTGTTGTCTGTCATAGGAGTACCTCAGGTGCTGGCTCATGTACAGGTATGTCTACATCAGTGTCTGAACCTCTAGTGATACCGTTCCTACCCTCAGTATACCTCCCTACGCAGGAGTTATTACTGACGGATCATCAGAGCTGGGTGTTGTTGTCTGTCATAGGAGTACCTCAGGTGCTGGCTCATGTACAGGTATGTCTACATCAGTGTCTGAACTTGAGAATGTTTGTGCATATTATTCATTTTTATCTAAAGGCTTAGCTTTGATCTCAATCAAATCATTGTGTATGTACAGGTGTTTTCTTCCTCCGATGGATCTTACCTGTCCGTGGTCGAGGCAAAGCGTCCAGACGCCAATACTGTGGTTTTCCAAGTAACTGTCAACGCTCTTAGCCCTGAGAGGCAACTGTATCTGTACGTGTTCTCTCCGCTCACTGGCCAAAACATTACTGTAAGTTGTAGGCAAAATTATTATAGTTCCTAAGTAGTTGCTTGATATGATTGTTACAGTAAGGTGTAAACACTGTTCTAGCAATGAGGGTTAAGTTTGTATTCTTGATTGTGACGTTTTATACTATCCAATGACTGCAAACATCTTCAATGGTAATAATTTTGCAATATTTTTGTCCAAAAAAGTTCTGAAGCTATTTAGTTATTTTATCATACCTCCCGAAAAACTGTATTAAAAACCTCTTGATGAATTCAAACATTTAGGACGAGATTAGGGGTGTGCGATGCATCGAAAATGCATCGAAATTTCGATTCGATTCGATTCGATGCATCGAATCGCGATTCGATTCAGTGGTGGTCAAAAAACGATTCGATTCACGAGGGAGTCAGTATCCATATACGAAAAACGCCTGCAGAAAGTCAATGCAATACCCGCAATACAGGAGCGCGTTGCTGTTGCGTTTCCTTTACGAAGGCGTTCTTATTTAATACATTCTTTGCATTAAATATAGCTTTAATTGTTTTATATTTTTTTGTTTTGACATTGCAAATGATTAGAGGTTTGTTTTTTGTCTTGATGAAAGCAGTGTGTGAAATATTTTACTACTGTGAACCTAGCCAAAACAAGGTAGGTTACTCCAAAATCATTTTAAAAATAAGTCTGAAAAATGGTTACTTAATACTTAACTAGTAAGATTAATGTTATAGACTGATTCATTTGGTTAGAAAAAGGTCGTCTGCAGTTTCAAAACAATATGGTTGTGATTCTTTATGAGCCATTATATTTGAGTTTTTACAGTGTATTTTAAAAGTGTGTGACTAAACTACAGTTTTAAATTATAGGTAAAGTATCTTTATCCAAGTGAAGTTATAAAATTTCAAAAAGCTTTTAAAATTGTACAGCTAAAAGGACTTACAAAAATACTCACATTTCTCCTAGCCAATAGCACATGTTTTAAACACCAACCAAATATATTGTTGAAAAGGACACTGGGAGCACAATCTTGTAACTTTCATTATTATTTACCAGTTATCAATAATTTTACAACTTGACCACTGTTTTAAAATGAATAAAAATGACCATTACAAAGTAAAGAACTTAATCACACCAAGATAAACAGGAAACAACTTACAGACTACTTGACACAAACAGTATTTTCCTGTTTGGATCCCCACCCCACCCCCTGCCCACCTGATACATCTGACCCAAGGCGTTTTTGCAGCCGACCAGCTTATCACCAAGACCTGACCTTTGGAGCAATAACAATATTGGAGCAACAAACCCAGATATTACACCTGTTGAGATCATATTTGTGAAGAATATAATATTTTATCTGTTTACACATTGAAGAGATTCATTATCATTATCATAATAATTCATTCATTATTATCTTTGTTATATATTTTCATACCTGTCATACTTTTATTTTAACCAATGCATGTTTTGTTTACGACTTATATTTTTGTTGTATAGAAAAACATTGTCTTGACTACAAAGATGGAGTTTAAAATTGAGGAAACAAAAAGTGGAAAGGATAATCTTATTTTTAACAATTATAAATATAGACAAAATTATGTGGCGAAAAATGGTGATTTGACATGGCGTTGCCTTGGAAGAAACTGTAATGCAGTAATAAAAACTGACTCAGCTAAGTCAGCAATTATTGCATCTAACATTAAACACTCTGGGCCTCATCCTGTCACTATGAGATCACTGTTATCTCCAAAAACCTCTTCTACCCAGGAGTCCCCTGCCCGTATAGTATCTAATGAAAAGAATTTCTTCGAGACATCCACTCCTCAGTTATTCATTACACCATCTGAGTCCCCCCTGGATATTACTGATAAATCACAAGAATTAGCATCCCCTACTGTTTTGGAATTACAAGGAAAAAACATGCATTTAGTTAAACAAAATGAAACTTTAAAAGAGCAATTAAAATGTGTGCTTGATCACTCCATTGAGTCGGATACTCGTCTGATGAAATACACAAATGAGATTTTTCCTGTCCCAGACTATCTACCGAAAAAAATAGTACCAGATATGACAGATTTTTCTGTACAGTGTGTACCTGATACGTCTGAATATGCAACTTCAACCGATGATCTTGTTTCACATGTGCAAGAGAGTATAAAAATTAGCGAATCGAAGGGAGCCCAAACTGACAGTCTGTTGCTAAACAAAACAATGATTATGACAGAGTTATTAGGCACCAACTGGCTCTCAGATCTGTCTCTCCAACCATACTTCGATATGCTAAGTAATAAATTCCTAATTCCAAACTCATGTATTATAATAAACCCGTTGATAGTGCATGCGGTAAAGAATAGCCAAGACTTTCATACTTTTTTAGATCCTCTAAAAGTTACAGAAAGAAAGATAACTATCATGCCAATAAATGACTCGGAGGAAGTAAGTAGAGAAGGCAGTGGATCACACTGGAGTGTTTTGATCTTCGACAGAGATGAAAATAAATTTTACCATGCAGACTCTCTTGGTAACTACAATCTTCATTCAGCAAAAAAAGTTGCTCAGAGACTGTCAGAGTATGTGGGTGGTAAAGCACCAACAGCTAGCTTTCTGTCATTAAAAAGCCCACAACAGCCTAATAGTTATGATTGTGGTATCTACTGTTGTTGGGTTGTTGAGTCAATAGTAAATGACGTAGTTACTACTGGATTCTTGAACATTAATTCCATTCAGAATAAGAAGCTGACAGAACAGGAAGTTATTCAAAAGCGTGCACAATTAGCATATATTCTTCTTAGCCCCTCAACAGTTAGTGACAAATTACTTTTTTCTCTAATGATTCAGAAGGATACAAAATTAAATACCTTGGTCATTGAAAAAAGCAACACAGAAATCAAAAATGCTTTGTCGCAAAATAGCTGGACTCAAGTACAAACTAAATCAAAACATCTCAGTTTCGAAACAAACCATAATCCTACTTTACCTATAAAAAACAGATATGATATCCTCCATACACTTGAACAAGAAAATAAAACTCCAATGAACTGTACACAGAAGCCCACTGTCCCTCCTGCTAACATGAAGAGGAGAAGAAGAAATCATGAGAGTACACTAGGAAAGCAAAATACCCTACAATATGTAAATAAAGCACACAACACAAAAACCACGATATCTGAAACTGATATTTGCCCAAATGTCAAGACAACACTTTGTGCAGACAGCCAGGGTAAACATATAGCCTGGAAAATTCAAAAATTCAGTTCTGAAAAAATAAATACTTTTGGCTATGTCAGAGCTAACACCACTCTTCTACAAGTACTCGAGTCAACTACTATTGATAAAGACAACCCTCTGATTATATTAGGGGGCACCAATGATAGTCTGAACGGCACCTTACCAACTTTGTATAAAGAACTAGAAGAAAAATTACAATCAGTCTGCAAACATAGGCCAGTTTTCCTTTGTACAATCCCTATTAGATATGACAAAGCACAAAATGATCCGGACAACTTAGATATACTGCTAATGAATAAATATTTTAGAGAGTTGAGTTACAAAATGGACAATCTCTCTGTAATAGATCTGGATGATTTTCGGCGCTTCCATTTTACAACGCACGGACTGCACCTTAATGGCCGTGGCAAGTCAAAAATTGCGTTCCTCATAATAAATGCCCTAAAAAATTGGTATCACGGAGATAAAAAACTACCAAAAGTTCCTGGAGATCCCACAGCAGAACCACAGCAACCACAGCAGAATGCAACTTCATATTCAGCACCACCTTGTCTACCAAATCCTGACAATGCAGTTTCAATCACCAGTGATCCTACAATTAAACTACTAGAAGCAGACATGACAAATGTTATTAAAGATCATATAAATAATAAGGACATAGTTTTCGCCCATTGCATATCAGCTGATCTTGATCACGACAAAAATATGAGTGCTGGAGTGGCGGTTCCGTTCAAGGAGCTTTTTGGGAAGCCAACAACTGCTGACTACTGCAACTCAAACTTAACGCTACAAAAACATAAAAGTGGAGCTAGTGTATTTGGTTTGGTTACAAAGTCAAAATTCTACGGAAAACCCAGCGACACCAATTATGAGCTATATAATAAAGCATTTCAGCAGTTGATACAAGAATTTAAAAAACAAAAATTCAAGACCCTCATCTGTTCTCCATTGGGATGCTCAAGGGACCGTGTCTTACCACAACACTTTGCAAAATATATAGTTGAATTCCAAAGCTCCACTGCTGCATCAGTTATTATTGTCATCTCAAAGAAGTACATTTCAAGTAAACAGAAGAACACAAAGCCATATTCTGAGTTTGTAAGGAACCTCACACAGGCCATTGCAACGGAATCATCTCACCATAAAACCAACAAATCATCCGAGACTCAGTCTGTGAACAAAACATCCTCTGCATCTTTCCCTCTGGACCCGAAGCAGGCACAACCTCAACCACGGACTGTTACAGAAGGAAGAATATCGACGCAGGACAACCAGCAACAAGACAAGGGTGATCTACTCAACACTACAGCAGACCAGGTGACTCAACTTACTTCCTTGACCTCTGACTCCGCAACACAGTGTAGTGAAAATGCAAATAAGGCCTCTAGTGGTGATGAAAAAAGTGAAGATTTTGTAAATAGTATACTAAGTGGTAGAATAGCTGGTCACAACAACAATTTTTTACAGAATATAAAGCCTCAACTGATAGCTCGATAAACAAAATTCTTAATAACCATCCTAAAATAAATGACATCCCAAGTTGTGATAGAAATGATCTCATGTTGTTACACATTAATATAAGATCAATTCAAAACAAATTAAATGAGCTGCAATATTGTTTAGATATTTTAAACTGCTCCATATTATGTGTTAATGAGCACTGGTTGAAAGATTTTAATGTTGACTTGTCTGTTCCCTTTAATTTTAGGTTAGCAGTTGCTTACTGTAGAGTTAACACAATTAGAGGAGGCACTGCCATATATTTAAAAAAAAGCTTAGATTTGGAATATGAAACAATTGATTTAAGTAAAATTTGTATTGAAACAGTTTTTGAAGCATGTGGAATAATCTTAAAACAGTATAGAACTATAATTATTTCTGTATATAGGATTCCAGCTACTAGTGAAGAAATGTTTATTGATAAGTTTGAATGCATGTTATTGGAACTATCAAAATACAAACACTGTAAAATAATTATCACAGGAGACATAAATTTTGACATTAGAGAAAAGAAAAAAAATGTAAATGAGTTTTTAAATATGTTAAAGTCATTTAATTGTTGTTGTCACAACTCAAAACCGACCAGATATGAAGCATGTCTAGACAATATAATTAGTAACTTAACAAACACAGACTTTACTTTTGATTGTATTAACTTAGGTCTATCTGATCATGATGGATTGTGGTTAAAGATGAGTAGTTTTTTCAATAAGAGCAGGAAAGAGGTTAAATTTCGTATATTAAGTGACAAAGCTATTAATTCATTTCAAAATGATTTAAATATGGTTGACTGGTCATATGAATTGTATCCCTTTAATAATAATATAAATGCATGTTTTGATTATTTTATTGACAATTTAAAATTAATTTTTGATTCAAACTGTCCCATTGTTACTAAATTAAACAATAAAGACAATATCAAGCAAGCATCTCAACATAGCTCTAAGTGGTACACTGATCGCCTCCAAGGGATAAGAATAATGCTTCTCATATATAAGGACAAGTCTCACTTGAGTGAACAAAATAGATTAAATTATTTAAGACTGAGAAAAATTTATAGACATGAAATACAATTGTCTAAGCGCAAGGTTAATGATGAGTACATTGCAAATTCAAAAAATAAAGTTAGGGCTGCTTGGAATGTAATAAAGAATGAAATCAATGATTCTAAGATGGAAAATTCTGTTCCAGTTGATATAAATGTTTTAAATTATAGTTTTGTAAATTCTGCTTTTTTACCACTGAATAATAACAGTTCACTTAACAGACAAAGTGCAAGGGATCCTATTGCTCTACTCTCAACTTCAAGAAAGGTTGATACTAAATTCCAATGGTCTCCAATCTCCCAATTAAATATTATAGAGTCCATTAATAGACTAAGTAGTTCTAAGGCTGAAGACTATTATGGCTTCTCCAATTATGTAATCAAAAAGATAGGCCCTCTTTTGATATATCCACTTACCATTCTATATAATATGATGATTGAACAAGAAATTTTTCCAGAATGTCTTAAAATATCAGTTACAATACCAATCTTCAAAAAAGGGGAAAAAACTGATCCAAATAATTACAGACCGATATCTCTAATCCCAATTCTTTCTAAAATATTAGAACACTGTCTACACCAACAAATTTATTCATATTTTGAAAAAAATAACTTGTTCTGTGATAGTCAGTTTGGTTTTAGATCAAATTTGTCCACAATCAAGGCCTTGGAAAATATAATCACAGATATTTTTAATGGTTGTGATGGTAAAATTAATATGTCTGCAACATTAATTGATTTGGCTAAAGCTTTTGACTCAGTCTCTCATGAAATTCTTATTAAAAAATTGGCTTTTTACGGAGTAGTTGAAAAATCATTAAATCTGTTAAGCTCATATTTAGTGAACCGTTTCCAGCTGGTGCAGGTAAATAATTCAAGATCTAATATGTTAAAAATCAAAATTGGCATACCTCAAGGATCAGTCCTTGGGCCTCTACTTTTTATTGTATTTATTAATGATTTGCCTTGTTTTGTTCCCTGTAAAACCACTCTTTATGCTGATGATACTACATTCCTCACAAGTGGTCAAAATCTGAACAAAGCACTTGAAGAACGGGATGGGGTGTTAAAGTTGGCTGAAGAGTGGTTTCGGGGAAATGAATTAAGGATTAATAACTCAAAAACAGAAGAAATTCATTTTAACCTTAGAATAAATTCTAATGAGAATAAATCAGTAAAATTGCTAGGAATCCATATTGATCAGAAGCTGAACTGGATTGAGCATACAAACTTTTTATGTAGTAAATTGGCTAGAACTGTATTTTTATTTAACAAATTAAAGAACAATGTAAGTGAACAAATTATTCTAAATTGTTACTACGCATTTTTCCATTCTCACCTACAATATGGTGTTCTCTTATGGGGTAACTCTGTAGGAGCCAAAACCGTTTTCAAATGGCAAAGGAAAGCAGTCAGGTGCATTAGAGGAACAATGCCCAGGGAAGATTGCAAAGCAGATTTTAAGGCCCTAAATATCCTAACCCTTCCATCTTTATACATTTTAAATTGCTTATTATACGTAAAAGAGAATATAGACCAGTATAGCATCCGATCTGACATACATAAACATTACACAAGAAATAGCCATCATCTCAACTTACCACTTACAAGACTTACACTTACACACAATAGCTACAAATATCTTAGTATACAATTTTTTAATAAATTGCCCCCTTCTGCAGTAACGGTTCCAATAAAAAAATTCAAAACAGTCCTTGATTCATGGTTAAAATTAAAATGTTTTTACTCTGTAGATAAGTTCTTGTCCTTGGAGGTTTTAGATATAAGTTTTTAAATAGTTTATTTAAGATCAAGCTTCCTGTTATTTATTATGACTATGTTTAATGCTTTAATGATAAGATGCCATTTGACAATGTCAATTGCTTTTGTAGAGCTGAAAGACAATAAAAAGATTTGATTTGATTTGATTTGATTTGGTATTTTTGTTAGGTGTCTGCCGGTCCCCGTCCCCGAATTTTTGTTGGGGCAAAAGAAAAAAAAAGAATAATTTATTTCCAAAGAAACACTCTTATATTATTATATCTATTATTACAGAGGAATTAAAATGTTCAAATGAGAATTAAAAATTAAGTTGGCTCACGACCTTTAAGAATAAAGACACAACAGAGCAATTGCCGCACTGCCACTAGCCAGAGCCAGGTCTAGTCGTCTACTGATAAGAGTAACAAGACAAAAGCCGTGACGCAACACTAACAGTGCAAAGAAAACAAAGTCAAAAGAATAGAAAGACTATTTATCCAGACATACTAGTATAATCATTTATTGTTTATTCAATACCTAATTAAAAATATATTTTATTATTTTACATAATAAATTATAAACAAAAGAAATATCTGATATAGTGAACAGATCTGTATCTTGGTTAGATGGGGTTAAAAAAATATATTTCTAAGATCCAATACAATATTTACAACTCACAAATTACATTGAATTAATTTCTTTGAAAATAATCTCTAACAGTTTTGTGTTTTTGAATAAAGAAATATATTTCTTTGTCTCTACTCCCTTGTTTCATCACTTGCATTTTGTCAGCAATTGAAGCAACTGGGTAGCAACCGGGTGGTGTAAGAGGGGAGGGGGAGGGTCTATGACCTTGAATTCACACATCGTTGCCCGGGCCTGGCTGGTGAGACTGATTCATTGTTTTTGTTGACATACTACTACCCTTCCTTAAGAGAAAAAGGCCCTGCTGTTCCAAAAACATTGAGGGTAGTTAAAAAAAACATTGACCTGTGTTGCCAAGGGCACTAGGCTAGAAGATAGCATTTAACTTTCTTGTCTCTTGATTTAATATTATTTTAAACTTCTATATATTATTTAAGAGTTACTTTTCGGGTACCTAATTAGTTGTGATATTGTTTGGCTTTATTTTATGGATTTTTAATTCTTTTCATTCATTAGCTATCAAAATCAGTTGTTTTAGGATTTTAATCTCTTGCAGTAGGTCTATACTACTGTATGACATGATATGCATTTTTTTAGTCCTTATTAATTATACCATAAACAATGTTTGTATGTTATTTACTGTTTTTGAGTTTTATAGGAAATTAGTTTACACAATATCTTTTCTTCAATGAGTTCTCCACTTGACATGTTGCTTCTAGCCTATTACTATTTTAGGCCCTATAAAAATAATGCCTAGGTAAAGCTGTAGGCCTACTGATGCCAATAATAATTCTTTATTTATGATGATGTAACAAATAATGTAAATGTGAGGTTATTATACTAAGGAGGTTAGGAGGCAGGGAATGAATGATACATATTGCATGGTGGAAACATATTATTTTTATTTTCTTCTTGCTTGCAGTCCTGAAGCCGGTCCACAGGCCCTAAACTTGTGATATGTAAATTTATTTCTTAATGGTCTTTTTATATTAAGTTCCATTCAAATTTGTTGTAATTTAGCTACCGGCACCTATTTAGTTATTTAAACAGTTATTAAAATGAGAATGAATGTCTTGATAAAAAAAATATTTTCTTCTTTCTTGCAGTTGAGCCAATTCAAGTAAAAATTATGAAATAGGCAAGTAAAGCAGCTCACTGGTATTTCCAGCAGTTATTCTAATACATATGATTGAAAATAAATATTTTTTCACCTAAAATTCATATGTTAAGTATGAAATAGGCCTAATACCACATCAACAAAAATTTGTATTACACAAATGTGATACATTTTAATTATTGTTAATCCACTCAATTGACAATTATGAATAGAAAAATACCGTATTGCTTCGAATCGAGTTGCATCGAATCGAATCGAAAATCTTTTGAATCGAATCGTTGCTTCGAATCGAAAATTTTTTGCTGCTTCGCACACCCCTAGACGAGATTAAGAATATTTTCATCTGGTTCAACAGGTGCCTGTACACATGAATGTGAGGGGAGGTTTAGCTTCACCTTGCTTGGCAAGACCAGCCTCCAAGTGGGTGTTGGAGCTAGAGAAACTGTGGGGAACAACTTCCACCATCATCTCTCTTATTGTCATCTTTCTGGTCATCTGGTACTGTGAGTATCAATTGCTATATTCTTTTCACCTAAGTTCGGACATAGACTAACCAACACAAGTAGACTTCTCATCCCATTGTAAATTTTGAAGCTCATTTTTTGAGTCTAGTTCATGTATGGTGACACTGGGCGCTAGTGTTGACAAAATTTTGTTTCTATTATTTTAGGGTTAATTTAATGAGTAGTGCTTTACTGTTTGCTTATATAACTAGGGTAGGAGTTATTGTTTGTGTGATTAGATTGTATTATTTGGTTTATCAAGGTTTTTGCTTGGATTCAAGCAATGGAAACAAAAAATTTTTATTGTTTTTAAGATTTAGTAGATTTAAGATTAAGGTTTGACATCTGACTAATTAAAACTTTACTGTCTACAAAATGCTGTTGCAAAATGTTGTTTTGGAACAAACAATGACTCTCATGTTTTGGGTTTTTTCAGCAAGTGTATTCAGCTGGGTACGAGTACTAGCACCACCTCCTGCTGTCTATGGTAAGTGCATTTTTCCTCAGTATAACCAGCAATAACGTGTACATTGAATAGTATCTGTTGATGTTAATTTTGATTGGAATATGGCCAAACCACTCTTTTATATCCCCACAATATTGTGTTTTCCAGAGTTTTCCCTTATACTTATACCATTTAAGCTGAAAAGGATGTTTTCTAATGACTAGATGCCCAATTTAAACTGTAAATTAAATTAATATTTTTAACTGCCAGTTCTTGACCTTTACAATTGACATTTTGTTTAAACATTATCCCTGAAATTGAAACTTAGTTTTTATAATTTAAACTGTAAAACTGGGTTTCTCTGAAAGAAAGTTAAAATGATTTAATTGCAATAAACAAACCAATAAAAACAGCACTAATACATTTTTATTTTACCATCTTTGTTTATCGGCTGCAAGAAAGTTCTCCGTAATTAAGGGATACAGATCATTTATTGACACAAAAATGTTACATCAACTGCTTACAGCAGGAGCGGGTGTCTTGGCAATTTATAATGTCTTGAATCTAAACCCATGCATACAACAAATACTTAAACTAATGACATAGGCCTAGCTACAAAAACATTTGAAAACATCAAATATACAAACAAGTTTCCGCTTAAAGTCTTCTGCAATAATAATCCAATATTGATCCAGTTCTGACATTTAAGACACTCGCTCCCAATTGTTTAAATTTATCTGGCAATAAATGGTTGTAATGCAGGTTGTTACATCCTAAATGTCTATCTTTACTTATTGATTATTTATTTTATAACTATCACCAGCTGGTTATAATGTTTACTTCTTCACTTTGTTTTTAATTTGTGTTGAATAAAGTTGGTTAAAATTGTACTTTTACAAATACATTTATTATTAGTTCTAATTACATACAGAACAATTTGGCGACGATGGAGGTGAGTACAAGTAATTCAAATACATCTCAAAACATTCAAATGATTAACTCAGCATTGATTGGACCCTTTAATGAAAGATATGAAACATGGGAAATGTATATGGAAAGACTAGAGATATCATTCATTTATAACAACATTTCGGAAGACAAAAAGAAAATTACGTTACTTCACTGTATTGGATCAGACACTTACAGTAAACTTAGGGATATATTGCATCCTGTATCACCTATAACTAAATCCTATGCTGAATTAGTTCAAACTCTTAATTCACATTTTACACCAAAACCAAATGAAGTATCAGAGACATTCAAATTTCATTGTAGACACCAATATGAAGGAGAAAACGTTTCTGAATTTTCATTGGATCTTAGAAAGTTGTCTAGATATTGTAATTTTGGCACATTTCTGTCAAAAGCCCTGAGAAACCAATTCATACTCGGGCTAAGGGATGAAAAAATACAGGCAAGGTTAATTACTCTAAGTGACAGTGATTTGAGTTTTGAAAAAGCTGTAGACATGGCTCAAGTAATTGAAAAGGCTCAAAACGATTCAATAACAATCCAATCAAAATTCAATCATGAAAACAATGAATTGCCGGTTAACTTAAATGTTGTACAACAGAAAAGTTTTCAAAAACCTAAAAACAGTACCAATCTTAAACAATGTTACCGTTGTGGAGAGTTACATGAATACATATCTGAATGCAAACACAAAAATACAACATGTAACTTCTGTAAAAAAATAGGGCATCTAGCAAAGATTTGTTTTAGGAATCCTAATGCACCTATCAAATTGCAAAGACAAAATAAGACTACATTTAACACTACTTCAAGAAATGTAAAACAAATAACAGACTCGTTTGAAGATCAAAGTGAAATATTTCTACAACAAAATATGAACAATTCTGTTAGATCCCTCTATAAGGAAACTAATGTTATTGACATTTGTTCTATGAATACATCAGAAGATAAATTTAGGAAAATAATGTTAAACATAAAAATAAATTGGAAAACTATTCCGTTTGAACTAGATACAGGAGCAGGGGTATCTTTGATGTCAAAAAGTAACTTTTCCAAGTTTTTTCCAAAACACAGACCTTTAATGAATCCAGACATAATATTAAGAGATTTCAACAAAAATGAATTTGTTCCATTGGGTAAAACCATTGTTCAGGTTGGTTACGGTAACCAAACCAAATATCTTCCATTGTATATAGTCGATGGTAATAGAGATACGATATTTGGTAGGGAATGGCTGAGATCGATTAAAATAAATTGGTCAGACATAAATAACGTTCACGGAGCTGACTTGAATAGAGTTAAACACTCAAATCCCAAAGTACACGATATTTTAATGGAATTTAAATCCATATTTGAACCAAGAGTTGGAAGTTTCAAAGGGGGAGAAGCACTTCTTAACTTAAAGCCTGACACTACACCAGTTTTTAAAAAAGCTAGACCACTACCTTATGCTTTGTTACCAAAAGTTAGTGCAGAAATCGACAGACTAGAAAAAGAAGGTATAATTACAAAGGTGAATCAGAGTTCTTGGGCTACTCCAGTTATACCGATTATGAAGGCAAATGGGAATATCAGACTGTGTGGAGACTACAAAGTAACCCTCAATCCCCATTTGGTAATACCAGAACACAACATGCCCCGCATTGATGATATTTTGGCCAGAATGGGTAATTCGACTAAATTTACAAAGATTGATATATCCGAAGCTTACCTACACATGCCAGTGAAAGAAGAATACAGAGAATTGCTCACAATCAATACACACAAAGGTCTATATCGAGTAAATCGTCTACCATTCGGAATTGCAAGTGCACCTGCTATTTGGCAATCAGCAATGGAAAATATTCTACAAGGTATTGATGGTGTTGATGTTTTCTTTGACGATGTCAAAATAACAGCCCACAGTGAGGAAGAACATTTGAAAAGACTCCGTGCTGTATTAAATCGGTTCAAAGACAACGATTTACACATTAATGTTTCTAAATCTCAATTCCTTGTACCAGAGATTGACTTTCTTGGTTACCATGTCTCGTCAAAGGGAATAAGTAAAAGTAAACATATTACTGAAGCAATAAGAAACCTGAAGAGACCAAGTAATGTGAAAGAAGTTAGACAAATCCTTGGGTTGATAAGTTACTATCGAAAGTTTATTCCAAACTTAAGTGAAAAGATGCAAGCTATTATTAATCTCACAAGAGCTAATGTACCTTTTAATTGGACTGAAGAATGTGAACGAGATTTTCAATTGGTGAAGGAGGAAATGATGTCAGAGAATATACTATGCCATTTTGACCCACACTTACCACTCATTCTAGCAACAGATGCTAGTCAATCTGGAATTTCGGCAATTCTTTCTCATGTGTTTCCGGATGGAAACGAAAGACCTGTTGCATTTGCTTCCAAAACACTATCACAAACACAAAAACAGTACAGTGTCATACAAAAAGAAGCCCTGGCAATTTATTTTGGAGTTAAACACTTTTACCAATACCTTTATGGACGTCATTTCACCCTAGTTACAGACCACAAACCCCTGGTATCAATATTTGGACCGAAAAATGGAATACCACTTATGGCCGCAACAAGACTACAACATTATGCTATATTCCTTCAGGCATTTTCATTTGACATAAAGTATAAATCAACCAAAGATAATGTTAATGCTGATGCACTTTCAAGACTACCTAAAAATGTTGAAGAAGCTGCTGTTATTGACTCAGCCAATGTTCATGAAATAGAACAAATCTATACTTTACCTGTCACAGCTGAAGAAATAGCAAAAAATACACAATCTGATCCAGATCTTAGAGATATTTATCAATCACTAATCAGAGGGGAGCCAATACATCACCCGATGTCTTCTAACGAACAAGAATGGTCAATTCAGCTTGGATGCTTATTAAAAGGGAATCGTGTGGTGATTCCCAAACAACTTCGTCCAAGAATTTTGAAAGAACTTCATGAGGCTCATGTGGGTATAGTTCGCATGAAGGGACTAGCTCGTTCGTATGTTTGGTGGCCTAAAATTGATGCAGACATTGAGAATATGACCTTAAATTGTTTGGGATGTCAACGAGTACAACATGAAGCACCCAAAGCACCAGTTCACCACTGGGAATATCCTTCAAGGCCTATGCAAAGAGTTCATGTTGATTTTGCAGGACCATTTTATGGCCATTATTTTCTCCTAATTGTGGATGCCTACAGTAAATGGCCAGAGATTGTAACACTTACAACTATAAATTCACATAAAACCATTGAGGCTTTGCGGAAATTCTTTTGCTCTTTTGGAATCCCTGACATATTAGTGTCAGACAACAGAAGGCAATTTGTTTCGTTAGAGTTTGAAAAATTTCTTCAATCTAACGGAATTAGACACAAGAGATCAGCACCTTACCATCCTGCAACTAATGGCCAAGTAGAACGCTATGTACAAGACTTGAAAGATACTATCAGAGCCATGCACTTTGAGGAAGGCTCAATTGAGTTGAAATTACAGAGATATTTAATGGCCTATCGAAGAGCTCCACATAGTACTACAGGACAGTCTCCTTCACATCTCTTTATTGGACGTCAAATTCGATCAAGACTTGACTTATTGTATCCTGATTTGTCACCAAAAATGGACCAAAATTTTGACTCAAAATCATATTCTGACAGGCAAAAATCATTTAAAGCTCAAGACCCTGTTGCTTACCGCCTATATGGGACCTGCAACAAATGGGGCTTTGGAAAGATCAATAGAAAAGAAGGACCAAGAAATTATGAAATATCCACAAGCAGTGGCACAATCAGACGTCATCAAGACCAAATTAGACGTTCAGGGCGAAACTTGTGTGAGTTTTCATTAAGGAATGAGCAAAATCAAGTATTCATACCAACAAATTTTGGAGGAGTCCATTTTGGAGGAGTCAGAGAGGAACCAACCGAAAACCACGCAACAAATGATCACAACATACCAACCGAAAACCACATAACAAATGATCACAACATACCAGATGTTCCAGAGGCCAACGATCACAACATATCAGATGTTCCAGAGGCCAACGATCACAACATATCAGATGTTCCAATCAATTATCAATTATCAATTAGTTAAGATGGGGACGCCACTATGTGCGTATTTTAACCCAAATATGAGTGAAGGATGAGTGTAGGATGAGTAGTGCGATCTTGTAGTCTTGTTAGTGACTAAGGCCGACATGTTCCTTAGACACAGCTGTTAATTAATAGCCCATACAGCTAATGGCAACTAAGGGACCTACAGTTTATAGTGGAATCCGAACCACATATTTCCTTGTAATTTACGAATTGGTCTAATTATCAGGATAGTACTGCGGATAGTCGTAGTACTCACTAGTGCGGACGTTAATCCACACCAGGGAGCATCGCATCCACAGTGCATCCCTATAAATATCCACAATTCGTGACCTCCTAGTAGCTGGATCCAGTGGCACCAACTCCCGCTATTACAGTGAGACGTTCAAAAAGGACACATAAACCTGTGGATAGACTCAATTTATGAAGCTCACTTAAGAAGGGGAAGTGTTACATCCTAAATGTCTATCTTTACTTATTGATTATTTATTTTATAACTATCACCAGCTGGTTATAATGTTTACTTCTTCACTTTGTTTTTAATTTGTGTTGAATAAAGTTGGTTAAAATTGTACTTTTACAAATACATTTATTATTAGTTCTAATTACATACAGAACACAGGTATAGGTCCACGTGTATTAGGGAAGTTTCATTTCTTGAATATGGTTCACCTGTGTTTAGGATAGCTGTAGATGTTTGTGTTTCTCTACTAGTAAACAACTGTACATACTCTCTCTTTTTTCATAATTTTACATTTTGTAAATAAACAAATTCGTTCTCCATTAAATAATCACTCCTTCAAGAATAAAACAAGTGATATTATACTGTTACAAATATACCAAAACCCATCAAAATTCTGTAAAAATATTTTTATCTTACAGCCAACAGCACTCCCACTGCTACTACCATGATCAACGGGTCTCCGTCGCCACATTTTTCCGAGCAGAGGCCGTTCCTCTACCGTCAGCCGTTTTCTGATGAAGAGCCCGTCTATGGAGACCCTAACTTTTCCCCTTCCCCTCAGATGAGCCGACGCAGTCGCAGATAGTCGGCTGATCAATTTAGTGCCTTTGTACAGAACTGATATTTATTTTTTCGTAATGACATGTGTTCATAGTTGTTAATGTGTTGGAGTCCGTAAGTTTATTGCCTTATGTAGCCAGAGTTTCAAGATGATTCTTCAAATTGAGTCTTGTTTAGTAACAAATCATAAAATACTCAAATTATTTTGAAAAGGGGGAGTTTTGCTATCTTATCCAAATAAATAAAATCCAGGCTCTAATAAAATAGTTACACAATAAAAAGTCATGAAACATAACACTGATTTTTATCCTTGTAGACTTCTTCAGGGATTAGATTGAGAAAATGTCAATTAACTTCAACCTACCCTTTGAAGAAAACCTATATTACGATGAAACATCAGTTTAATGTATTTTGACCTTTAGTATATCTTATCAGCCCCTGGACTCTTAATTTTCTTAGGTAAAATAGTTGATTTTTTAAATTCTTAACAACTAGCTACTTGGCTTTCCTTTTCACCCTTCCTACAGATAATGCAAAGTCACTTAAAGTTACTTTTAGAAGAAAGAGCACCTGTCTTATGAATACATTAAGGAAGAAGGAATGCATATGCAATTAACAAAAACAATTGATCCGAGAAAATATATCCAGTTAGTTGAGGTAGCATACAAACAGTTGGAAACACAATTTATATGATATTTCGCTCCTACAAGAGGTCTTCTTCACTCTGTAAAACATCTCTATTTATTTGTGTTTTAAACTTGTCTGCTGTAAAATAACTGGATTTATTTTCTTAGATAAAATTTTGTTCTCAGGCCTAAGTTAGTCTATTTCTTTTTTTGTGTAATATTCGCAAGTCACTAGAGGTAATGTTTTAGATTCGCTTGTTAATTTACAATGTGCTCTTCCACTAATTAATTGTCATTAGTATTGTCCAAACACAAGGAATACAAGGCTGTGAAACCAGATGAATAAAGCACAGCTTCTAGTCTTCGTAAAACCAGTGTTGCCAAGTGTTGAAAAGCACAACAAATTGGAAAAATGTAGGGTTTTGCTTCACATTAAGGTGTAGTAAGTTTGATAGTTCAAAGTATTTTGGGCCAATTTGAAACCCAACTTTTTTCAAAACTCTCAAAGAACATTGGTAGCAAAATTTACCTCAGGCTCCAACAAGTTCAACAGGGTGTTCTAGAACCTAGATGAAGAAATTATTTGTAAGTTACCACTATTAATGACTCAATGAAAGCCCTAACCTTTTTGATCAAAGGGTTAGTTTGTGATAATTACTTGTAAATTGTAAACATTGACAATTGTAGTTGCCTTAAATTAGACAAACATCATGAAAGATTATGTCAATCTAACTATTGGAAATATTAATTTTTCATTAGTTTTTTGACTGGAAATTCCAAATAGTACTGATATTTTAGACTCTACTACACCCTGTTTAAATAAGTAGTTGTTAACTGTGACTTAATAATAAGTAGTTTTAAGATGTGTACCTTTGTAATTAATAGGGTTGTAAAATTATTTAGGACATTCAAATGGTTGTAAAATATTTTACGCTTACTATTTGACCACTGTTATTTTCCTGAAGGCTTTATACATGTGACGGAAAGAATAATTGATTTATAATGTACGATTTGTAAAAGTGTAGGTTTTTTCAGACGACTAATAAAACATACTTTAATTAAGAGTGTTTATTTAAAACAAGCTACTTTTTGCTCATTTGGAAGAAATATATTTCAATTTACAATGAATTACTATTCATCAAATAACAAATTTGATTTAAGAATATTTAACAAAACAACTTTTTTTAACAAACATTTTCTGTTACTGGGTAATAAATCTTTCAAGACACAAGTTTGTTTCATTGCAAATTAAACTTGATAAGTTTCACGTTGATACAGTAACTCATTGAGTATCAGTATGTCTAGTCTTCCATGTCTATAAATTTGATGATGATTTTGAGCTGAAACTTTGTACAAAAATTTAGTTTTTTAAAATTAAAATGCAAGTTACTTTACTTTTGATGTCATTCTATAGTCTAAGTTTTGTCCTGATGATTTCTTTACATTCTATTTTAACTGTTAACTTTACTGTTAATAGTTTTGTCATTTTATGTTCAACGTTCTACTAAAAGTTGTAATTTTTGTATTAAATGGTTAATAAAATATTTGCCATACTTACACTATAGAATAGGTACATTTAAGCAGCTTTAGTTGTTGGTTGTTATCTCAAATAATTTAAGATTAAAGGTTAGTTTTAAACTTGAGGCTTCAACCAAATTTTAGGGTAGTTTTTGTTTTTATTCTACTTTAACGTTTTGTTTTTTTTACTTCTCTTTGTGCCACAATTTACTTACCGTACTGTAATTTTCATACAACAAACAACCCTTAAAGACAACTTTTATTTAGGTTTAAAGAGTTTTTTTTTTGCCTTTTTGAAGTAAACTAAATACCGTAGTTAAGACATTGTGTTGTTAAATTGTGTTCTTTGTAGTAAAAAATTGTTTTTTTTTTTTATTAAAATATAATTATTTGTCTAATAACTGTGCGTTTTATACCTTCTTACTTCTGTATTAGAAGGTGTTCTGTAACTATTTGCAGAACTATAAACAATCAATAAATACACTCTATACTATGTCATAAATAACTCTGCGGTTATGGAAACCTTATCCAATGTATCCCGCGAATGCACCAAGTCACAAATATAACGGTCGTCTAGACATCATTATTGTCTTCACGGTCGGTAGACATTATGATCACGGCAAAATTCTGATCATTTCCTTTGGTAGCGTGGTCATCATCTTCTCCCGTCTCCCGCGGTCAGGGCAAAATCCTGAATACACCTCGCGGTAACGGAAACATCATCAGCTTCCGCAAACGCGGCAATATTCTGATCATTTCCTGCGAGTGTGTAGAATAGAAATCATCATCGACTCTTTCGGTCACAGAATCGTTAAGCACAATGGTGGCAAAATCTTAAACATCATGCGGTCGTGTAGAAATTATCGTCGTCTTCCACAATCGCGGCCAAATTATGATTATCTCCCACGGCCGTGTAGACATCATCATGGACTTCCACGGTAACAAAAGCGTCATTGTCGTCTTGCGCGATTGCGAAAATAGTGGTAGTTTTCAAATTGCGCTAACTTCACAGATGCGTTGGGTATTGGTATAGACTTTTGACGATCCATTCTCTATACCTATACCATTGTCCAAGAATCACTAGTATCGGTGGTATTGATAAAGGATACTTCACTAATTTAATGTTTACATTTATTGAGTTTTCGATCAATTTATTAAAGTTTTAATACTTCCAGTCTATTATTTAATATGTTTACAGATAGTCTACAGGTTTGAGAATATAGTAGACAATATTATCTCCTCACACATTCAATAAGGAAGTTTATTTATATTTGTTTTGCCTTGTTTAACTGATTACTGCAACAGATACCTAATGCAATCATATGAACTTTGACTATGACCAGCTGAGCGAGACCTTTGACCTTTTGGCCAAATATTACCAACAGTATTTTTCCCTAAACGTGTAATATTCTGTTTCAATATGGGTAATTTCTGTGAATTTTCTATTTCTGTCACAACGTTATGCAGGGGAGGCTCCAGTAATAATTTTTTTGGGTAGGCCTGACAAGGATCGAGAAGGAGTTTGATTGAGGAATGGGGGGTTTGGAGAGATTTCACGGGGGTGGGCAATTTTTAAATTTAAATGCAAAATATAGTTAATGCTTTTTGAGGACATCTATATTTTCTATACACATGGTAAAGAATGAACATGGTTAGTCATTACATCAGTTGTAATTAGTAATTGTAATTACATAAATTTTAAATATCTGCCAAAACTTTGGAAGGTCAAGACTTATACCCTCTGGAGCCGCCCCTGACGTTACTTATTTTTATTTTGCATCCCAAAAACGGTTCCATTTTGATAATTTAGTACAGTTTTATGAAATAACATACAAGACTTGCTTACTAGTAATACAATAATTGAGTGAATAACAATGAATTATTAACAAACAAAACGAAAATGAGAAACAGTAACAAGATGGCAACATACTTGGCTTAAAAAACCTACTTTGTATGGTCGCCATTTAATAAGAAAGTATTTTTTATTTATACTATTTATTTATTACTATTATTTATTTATTATTTATTATTATTATTTATTATTTATTACTATTATTTATACTAAGGAAGTATGTTTTATCTATGGTATTATTAAGTATTAAGGTAGGACTTAAAGTCCAGGCAAAGAAGACAAAACAAATACCAAATATGAGAAAAAATTTATGTTTAGGCCTAAGCCAAATTTTGTACAGTTGTAGAGGAAAGGTCCCTAAACAACATACTAAAAGTACCGACCGGTGGGAGTGGAGCTAAGGGGGCTAGGGGGCTCTACTGGTCCCTTGTTTAGTTTTTTTTTGTAAATAACTCGAAAACTATCAACTTTTTGTATGCAGTACTAAATTAGCAAATTAAAGAAGATTAAATTTCCTTCAAGAAAAGTACCTATATGATGTAACTTTGTTGAAATAAACAAAAACCAAGATATAATAAATATCTTATTCAAATACTTCCATAAGATATATACCTACATGTAAATTTGCAAAATAATACATATGCAAAGCCTATATCCCCTAATGTCAATATAACTGATATTCTTGAAATCCACAAAAACCATGTATTTCTGATGGAAGAAGTATTTGAATAAGATACTTATTATTTCTTGTAGATGGTTGAACCAAAATAGTTGAGTGAAAATTTAAAAACGTACGTTTTCATGTCCCTGGCCTTTTACTTCGTAGATACTGGATTTGTAGTTTATTATTATGTGTTTTTATATTTTTTGGGATGGGGCAACATGTTACACACATTTATTTAGTTTTAAATAGGTTCTAGGTATTTTTTTTGTATTTTTAAAGTCTTGAAATTCACGACCATGACGTGTCCCTAGGGTACATTTTCCAACTTTCACGCTGTTTTTAGACTAATTAATTATTCATGCCGAAATATATAAAGCCATATTTTTATGTCATCAATGGTTATTAAACTTACAAAAAAGGAGCATATTATAATTTTATTGTCATTGCAAACTGACTACCATGACAAAATAAGTCTGTCCCTTGATTTGGCGTCACGACCATTTGGGAAAAATTTTCAACTTTGGAGCACGACAGTGGCAAGCCTGGCGTCGATGGAGTCAGTTGGTTTTAGATACTAGTTCAGGGTGTACGTCAAGATTGTAGTGCCGGTCGTTTCGAGTTGAAAGGAGGAATTACAAGATTAATAAAGGAAAGATTGTGTTTTTTGTAATTTTGGTGTGTCCATGACCGTACGTAGTCATTCGATGAAGTAGACATGGTGTTAATTTTTGTTTATAAGATATTTCAATTGCTAGATTAACCTAGAAGTCCACTTTGTATCCTCGAACATGAGGTGCAGGGCTACCGCCAGAACAGAGCCAAATAACACGTAATTTCACGACCAAAGTTTCACGACCATCGCGGGTTTTTTCACGACCAATCCAGCCTTATGGATTATAGTGTGTTTGGTCGTGACAATAACTTTAATATAATTGTAAATTGAACAGTTTTTGTTCAATTGAAACACATATTTTTATTATAACTAACAGTATAATTGAAGGATTGTTTAGAAAGATTTAGATTATTTCAGACAATTCACGACCGTACCACTTGTCCCTGACCATCACGTTTATGATTTCTATCATAAAAATTTCAAAAATTAAAATATCGTCATATTTCAATGTTTTATACACAAAAGAAGCACACCTATATACAAACATAACGATTTTTCGGGTCTCAGGTAAGTTTTTTCGGAGTTATACAAACTTAAAAAGATTTTATTGGCTTTTTTTCAATTTTTTGAGTTTTTTTATTTTTTTTCTAGAAAGACCAAATATACCAAAAGCTCAGTGACTTTTTTATTGTATAATGGTCATAAAAGTAAATTAGTTTATAGCAAAACATAGTTATAAAAATAATATTAACTATTTTTAATATTCATTTAAACGTCCGTTATGGTCGTGACAGGATTTTGTGTTTTTCCACTAAAGATGCTCTTTAAAAAAAAAAAAAACTACCAAAGATATTGCGTTACCATGGACATTTTATGAAACTTCAAATGTTAATGAAATAAAAAAAACTAATAAAAGTTTTGAAAAAAGGGGAAAAAATTTTGCAAAGTGCTTTTCCTGAAAACGTACGTTTTTAAATTTTCACTCAGTTACATCATGTACTTTTCTTGCAGGAAATTTAATCTTCTTTAATTTGCTAATTTAGTATAGTGATGTCTACACCACAGAGAAGTTCTCTGTGTCTACACTAACACAAAGTTGATAGTTTTCGAGTTATTTATGAAAAACCTAAAAAAGGGACCTTTAGAGCCCCAGCCCCATTTAGCTCCACTCCCACCGTTCGGTACTTTTTGTATGTTAGGGATGGACCCTACCCCTACAACTGTACCAAATTTGGCTTATCATGATTTTTCCCGCTACAATGTCTTTGTTGCCTGGATTATTTTGATACATGCAGGATCAGTTTAGTGAGTGGGTCCAGGCATTATTAGGCAACGGTGTTTCGTTTCAAAGTTATTATACTTTCCCTCAGCTACATTCCTACATCAGTATTCAGTTCCTATATAATTTAGACCAATGTTCTAACAAAAATTGATGACAAAGTCATCAATCAGTTTTCAGCTCTGAGTAACACAATTAAATTGATGTAAACTTGTAAAAAGTAATAGCGTTTCACTGCTTTGTGCTGTAACGGTAGGTCAGATTAATCGTGTTCGTGTAAAGGGTAATTTTTCAAACTGACGAATAAAAAGAGTTCAGTTTGGTAACACTGATTTCTTAAAACGTGGACCAATTGCATGGCACCAACCACCAACCACCAACCGGACCGGAGTGGGGCGAACGCTTGTCGCTTTCTGTCTTCTTGTCTGTTCTCTGTTGTTGTGCCTATAGCAAAGCAAGCAAGGTTCCTTCACCTTCTTTGCTTGCCATTTCATTTCCGCTTTCACGACTGACAACAGCCGAAAAGCCCGTTCCCCGTTGTGACAGACCCCAATTTTTTATAGGACTGTTCAATATTTAAAATGAACATATCTTTATTTTCCGTCCTTTTTTGTTTGTTTGTCGGTGTTTACTCATCAGATGATAACTCAAAGAAGGGCCCCAGAGTCACAGTAAAGGTAAGGATTGTCATAAACAATAAATTAATAGGTTAACTTAAAATTTTTTAGCATGATAGGGAAGACACTGTAAACATTATTTTTCTGAATTCGTACTATTATATATCCCTACATACGTCTAAATTATCAGTGTAGTCTAATAGTTCCAAAACCTACTAGGGTATTTGAAGATGGACGCTTTATAGTTAAGTTTAAAGAGTGGGCCTTTATTCGATAGGCCTTTGTTTACACTACAATTCTAGTTTACCAAACCCTTTGACCCGGAATTTTGAAAGATCAAGTTATGGGTGGTTCAAACTCTAAAAGCACTGCGTTGCCGACTAGGCCAATGGTTACACAAAAGGTAAAATTAAGAAGAATTAGGTAAGGTCTTAAGTTAGGGGTAACTTAGCCGAAAGCGGTTCATAACTTACAGTTTCAGTTTAACTGCGTAGTTTAGTATCTTCCCTGACGTTTTGCCTTAGAAATTAACTGGGGTAGACTTCCGTATCTGTTGGCACAAACAACCGAATGAAAATATTGATTATTCGATTAAGTTATCGTTAGGTTAGGTTAACCTTTCCTAACTAACCAAACGATATAACTTATCGAATATCGATATTTTCATTCGGTTGTTTGTGCCAACAGATGTGGAAGCCTACACATTAACTGATAAAACTAAGTTAGCCTATGTTAACTTAGTTCATGAAGATTTGTACGCAGCCCATAGACCTGCCGTGAGTTAATTTGTTTAAACTTTATGAACTCCTGGTCCGGGTTATTTTCGTGTAAGTACCGGTAATTAGTTGTTTTCTGTGTTAGACTACTTTCTTAAATGTGCGCATACTAACTTACTTGTGTCAGTACCAAAAGACACGGTCTACTGGTTACCCTTTTGAAGAATCAGATGCGTTCTCTAAAATGCATAGTTACCCAGTCTACTTACTGAATAAATCTCCTAGAGTTGAAACATTAAATTTTTTTTTAAACTTTGAAGGGCCTAACTTACCGTTAAAATAAATAGTTAGCCAAAGTTTACTGTTAAGATGTTTTAGATTATCATGGAAGTTAGTTAACATAAGTTACTGAAATTGATTGAGCTTTGTGCAATTCTAGACATTGTGGTTAAAACAAGCACTGGTAATGTAACCTTTTAACCTCTAAGTTAGTAACTACCTATAAGAAGGTAAACTATTAGGCCTAGGTAGTTATAGGTAGCTTAAGTAACGCTAATTAGGGGGCCTAACTTACGGCATTTTTTTATTATTTCTATCCATCTTTTCGATGGCTCATTTAAGACAATGCACTCATTGTAAATTACACACAATAGAAGAATAAACTAAGAAAACTGAGAGAAAAGCTTTGGTAAGTTTATCCCAGTATAAATTCAGATTAACTTAGTGCACAGTTTGATACTCAGTGATTAGCTTAGATAAATTGCCGAGTTAAACTGACCGTGTATAGCCGCCTCCGGTATAAGTACTACTTTTAGGGCTATGCGTGCATTTCCTTCTTTTATGTGTCATACAAGTTTGGGAAATATACACCTTTATCAAGCTAAAATGCTTCAAGTGAGTGGTTTCGTATCCCTACAACACAGCAATAAAATACGTTGTGTGACAGAACACAGCTTAAAGTTAGCCTTCTTAAAAGTTGTATTGTCTGCTGTTTAAATTAACTTAATTAGAGCTGTAGGGTCTGTGAAGTTCATTGTTTCCTTCATATCAGAACAGCTGAAACCCGATAAACTACCAACATTAAGTTACCACTTTAAATTTGGCTGTTGTTTCTTATTTAACTGATCATTAAACTTTTTTGGGCATAACGAATAGACCTACTTCTATGTTACTAAACTACAAAATGGAAAGATCCTTTTATTCGAACTCGTTGGTCAGCTTTATTTCCTGTTCAACTCAATACCCGTTGCCTTTTGTACCTGACAGTTGCAAAGGTTCAATTTTAATTTCTAAATATTTATCTGTCAGATAAAAAAATAAACATAAAACTTAAGTCATTAACTTTGGCTACAGATTTTTTATAAACAACTGACATAATAATGGAAACCTTTTTTTATTGAAGTTAAAATTGGATGGAATTCCAAGCACATTTGACTTTAATTGTGTAAGCTCTTCTTTAGAATTTTCTAGACAAAGTTTCTAAGGTTCCCTCTAAGTTACCTCAAAGACAATTCCACTCCGCAAAAAGGTCAAATCCATTTAAGAGTCATACGATTCCAAAATTTACGAATTAAAACCAGACTAGGTATAGGCTCTTGCACATGGAAGGCAGTGGAGGAGATCGGCTAACATTTTTCCATTGACAAATATTTTGCTTCTAAAATGATACTACTAACTATCAACTGCTATTAGGGAAAAATGTCTAATATTTGGTCGTGAATTGCCTGAAAATGTTTACTAATGTCTGAATCAGCCTTGAGGCGTCTTTAAGTGAATGATGGGGCAAGTAATGAAAGCTGAAGAGCACGATTCTAGGAGCGGTGAAAGACTCTTCAACTTGCCTTTTGTTGATTCATCATGACTTGTTGATAACTTAGGACTACTCATAAAGGTTGGGGTCGGATGGAGGGTAGGCTAATTGAGCTAGGTCGATGACCTTGCAAGGTAGGAAACATTTTGGTAATTTGCGTGTTTAAACATTAAGGGAGTTTTGCAACATTATAGTAATCAGGTTAACCTTTTGACTCTGGATCATTCAATAGCATATTATAAAATGTATTTGCCAGGTTATTTCTTTCAAACGATAAACATAAAAACACAATTGATTTAAATCTACTTTTTCGTGAACACTTCAGTAAATGGAACAAAAAGGCATGAAACAAAGTTATGCCTGGACGTGCATCGCACAAAAGGAATTCACCCATCCTGTCAATTTCTACCCAAGCTATTAATCGTTTATTATAGTGTGATTGTTGACGGAAAGCGGCTGGCTGAAGGGTCGACCGTACTCACACACACGCAGGCCTCACACACACAGACGCAAGGGATTAGGACGGACGTGGGACGGACCATTGTCCTGCCGCGCAAGTCATCGCTGGCTCACGGAAATTAAACTATCAATTTTTTAATTTTACGTTTGTTATAAAATCTGGTAACGCTTTTGACTTCAGCTCAAAATGCTTAGTAAAATGATACCAAACAATATATATTTTGCTTACAAAGTGTAAAAGCTACGAATATTTTAACACATTTTTATTAGCTAGCTACTTGTCATAAGCATTTCGTGTTTGGACTCATTTTTCATCGAATTAAACAACAAATTTATAAACACTAACCATTTTACTGTATATCTAACATCAAATGAATTGCAATTTTGAGGTATCATACAACAGATGTTATATTTCTACTTAGTGAATAGGGGATCGGGGCTTTCAGGCAATTAGGACGGTGGTGAGTGTGCGTGCGTGAGTCGGGTCCCTCGCAGGTAGGGCTGAGCTCCAGCCGCACTCCGGTAAAAATCAGACTATATAAGTGGGCCTCTTCCACCAACCTCTGCCATAGACGGTGAACTCATCACTCACGCGTACCAGACTTGACCTCGATAGAATTTTAACCCTTACTCTACTGTGCTGTCTCTTTTGTGTGTGTATTTTTTTGTTATCCGGCGGCCAATGGCATTTTTTCATGTTTTGAAATAGATCGGTCCAAACCTTGGTCATCTTACTACCTAAAGTCGACCTTTTTGTTATATAGCATTATTAAATTCATAGCTTAATGGCAAACCGTAATGGTACCTGGGACTTACAACGATCTCACCTGGAATCAAACCAGCCACTTGGCTACCCAGACATTTAAATAGTTTTTTTCCATTTATTGACTAGAGAGATACTGCTTTAACAACACTGGTTCCAAACTTAAATCCTATATTGCAGCACATTTCAGAGCTCTCAGTCAGTCTCTCGGTGACTACGGTGATAGGCTACTCACATAGTGGAAGACATAGTGGCGTTGGGTTGGTCTTTTGTTCAATATGTCACATGTTGGAGTTCAAAGGGTCAATAAGACCATTGGGTTAGGTCAGCTGGTCAGTGGGTGTCTAGAGGATGATAGAGCCATTTTGACAATCCTATATTTAGGTTTAGCCCTGTCGGTAGCTTTGTATAGGGTTAGAGAGTTGTAGTTGAAAAAATAGGGTGTTTTAGTTATACATTATTTGTGTGATAAAAGCTGAATTACCAGAGTTGTGGTACAACATTCATTAAGCTATTTGATTTTTGGTGGTTGAGCCACAGAATTTTTCTATTAGATTATTTGGAACATTTATAATATTTCTGTAATCCAATTCAATCTAAATTAAGTTATAGGTACTTCAATCCTTTTAATCTTCTTTTTGTTAGGCCATCACTGTGTTCTTTTTCCACTGACAACCGACTTGTAATTGTATTTTGAGGTTACAGATTATTTACAGAACTATACACACCCATGTGTACATTCAAGTTTACCTAGAGGAAGATACATAAAGGTTCTTGCATTTAACAGTGGACAGAGCTTAATTAAGTGATTCAAGTGATTTAAACTAAACACTGGTTGGTATAGTTTAAAAAAAACCTCCAAAGTATTGAAAAACATTTAAATCAGTTTTCCTTTTCAGGTATGGTTTGACATTGCTAATGGCGACAACCCACCGGAAAGAGTTGTTATCGGGCTTTTTGGCAAAACAGTTCCTAATACAGTTAAAAACTTTGTGGAGTTGTCCAAGAGAACGGCTCCCGAGGGCTACAAGAACAGCAAGTTCCACAGAGTGATCAAGGACTTCATGATCCAGGGCGGAGATTTCACCAAGGGAGACGGAACAGGAGGTATATCTTTCTTCTTTCATTTCATTTGTGTTTTTAAAAATTATCTCATCTATATGGGCAAGCTGTTGCCTATTTTTCATTTAAAAAGAAACTGAATGAAGCAGTCGTGTGCTTCAGTCAAAATTTGGTTTTATCCCTTAAATTTGTTTTTGTTTGATAATTGGATATCACATAAAATTTCTATAGTTTACGATAAGTCGTCCTATCAGTTTGGCTTGGTTAAAAGTTGGCGTATTCGTAAGAAGTCGGAAAATTATATCGGCACATTGTTGCGGCTCAATTCAACAAAGACCAGTTTGACTTAACAACTTCAACACAGAAATGGAAGGTCAAATTTATCTATAGTCAAATGTATTAAAATGTATCTTTGAAGGAAAAAAAATTATTCAGCCTTCCTGCCATTGGCGGCTGGTGGGTAAAAGTAGTAGGAGGACGCATACAATTTTTTTTGGAAGGTTACCAGGGAAGGGTCTTAGTTAAAAGTAAAAAAAATGATTACATAAACGTTGGTTTGGGCCATTTTTTAAAAACAGTTTTATTCATAATTATTGTCTTCATTGTCTCTTAATTCATAATTAATTGTCCTCATTACGTACGCATATTTTGCAGAAATATTTTGAACAGAATGCATTAGCATCTCTGAACAATACTTCTACAGAAACAATTTAGTATATTAACCTCAAGTACCGGCAGCATGATGAACCTCTATGAATCAATAGATGCATGACAGTCAACAGATCACAGCGCTCGTTGTGGAAATAGTTAGAACTACTGTTTGGACAGAGTCCCAAACGCCCTTTATCTCTATTGCATTAGAGCCTTACGCAGCACTGTGATTGGTCAAAATTTGCCATGCAGTTTATATGGGAGTTAGAACTCATTTCTACTGAGTACCCTGGTACTACCTGTTGCAAAAATATATTGCGTCCATTATCACCCGTCCTAAAAATGTTGACCCAGCTAACGTTTACGTACATTCTAATGCAGGAATAAAAATCATATTTAAGTTATTTATTATTATTTTTACCTTTGTCTTGAAAATGGAAGGACTCCGTCACAGAGTCCTTATAGACCAGCCGCAACTGCTCTTTTCTTTCTAATAACCTAATTGGGTGTATCGACACTGTAATTGAAAATTATAACCTTTTTCCTGAGGCAGGGTGCAAAATTAAAAAAAAATTATTGAATAATTAGGTAGTGAAAACACAGTTTAAATAAATCCTTGTGTCCATTCTAAAACATTCCCGGTCTGGTGACTATAATTTTTCCTCCATTTTCAAACTATTTATATATAAAACAACTGTATTTTTGTAGACAAAACAGGTTATTTTTGATAGGATAGTAACAGTGTGCCACATCATTCCAGGATTGAAAATTATAGTTCATTCCCCTTTCTTATCACCACAACATTTGATTAGTACAACAGATGTTCATAGAAGCATCAGCTGATAAATTAAACAGATGTTCAAACACATCAGCTGCTAGTTTGCAATAGTTTGTGGAAATTTAAATACTGTTCAATTTTTGCTGTGCTATTTTCATTCTGTTTTTGCATTAAATTTAAGGAAAAATATTAAAATTATAACTGTAAAATCTAGATCCAAAATGTTAATGTTTAAAATATAAAACTCAATTGGTATGACTACTTACTATCACAAAATTTTACCCATGTTAAAACATGCTTTCTTGATATTTAATGTAAGTTACATACTTGAAACTTGAAACAAGTTACAGTTTTAAATCATTATTGATTTCTATTTTGGCGAAGGTCATCTGGATAGTGATAACTAAAGTTATCACCTGATATGATAGGTTTTTGCTCATGAATCAAAATAGAATGATAACTTTTCTGTATATGGCGAAATTTACTATCTCTTGTTCTTATAAGAACACTGAGGTACACACTGTAAAGATTTAACACATTGTAATTCAGGGAATAAATAAAAAAGCTATCCAACACTACTGAATTTGTTTAAAGTTTATGTTGGTAATCCCCAAAATCAAACATGATTAGGATAAAAACTCTGCATTAAATACCAATTCATGGTAGATCTATCCACATGAAAAATCCATGGTAGTGGCTATTTTCATGGTAACACATGAAAATTTACCACCCATTTAGAACCGCATTATCGGACGCACAGAAATAACTATCTGTGCAGCCTGATAAAAATCAACACCAGTTCAAAATTACCAAAAACTGCACAAAATCAAATGTGCAATTAATTCTATGTATTTCCTGAAGAAGAAATGAAAATGGTATGATCAAGTGAAAGTTGTCTAGTTCTTATCTTTTAGAGATAGGCCTATACTTGAATAGATACAACTTCCGTATCGGCGTGGTGGGGCGATCTGACGTTCGAGTAAGTGGGAGAACTGCCAGGTAGACTACCTGACCAATAAGAGCAAGGAGAGCCTGACGCGGCTTCCATAGCAACAGGCGCTGTTGCCACATCGCACTGCATCTCCACGCTCGCACGCACATGTGCAGTTCCTCCAGTGTCATGACAGTGACTACTTCGAGTACAGTATACTGTCCGCGAGAGTTTAGAAGTCCACTAAGCTAGAAAAAAAAACTTTTTGATGTTGGAATAGTCATCACATGTGTATTTCACAGTATATTTTGGGTTTACAACAGAAATGTCGTTTCCCACCAGAAGTCAGTAAATACCAAAGAGTGTTCCAAACATAGGGAATCATTTATTTTGGAACAAATGTTTGTGTACTTCTACGCTGTTCTGTTTACAACACTTCCCTATCAGCAGATGTTCTCTAACTATCAACAGATAACACGAAACTACAGTACAGCACAGCACACAATGTAACGTTGCGTGCGTTGTTGTAAGCTGGCGCTGGCGCGCATATTCTGTGAGGGAGTGGCAGTTCCCGCTCACTGCGACTAACAACGCGGCAACACCGCAACAGCAGTCTCCCCACTGCTCGCTACCCCTCCCCCCTCTCCGATTCGGAAGTTGTATCTATTACAGTATAGTCTTAGCTATGCATCTGATGGAAGCTTAGAATACTGTAAGAAGAAAAACTTCCTGGGTACATAGAATAATCTCCTAAAGCGTTTTGTAATAAACAAACTCGATAGCTTTAAACCGAAAGCAGTCCAAACCCCTCACATTTTTGCGGATTGAAGCGGTTCCTCTCACAACAAATTTGGGTGTGATAACCCAATAATTATCACACCCAATTATTAGGAACTTTGAAGATAACAGTTTGAAAATGGAAATGTTTTTACAGGAGTAAGCATCTACGGAGAGAGGTTTGCCGATGAGAACTTCAAGATCCAACACCACGGCGCTGGCTGGCTGTCCATGGCCAATGCAGGCAAAGACACCAACGGTTCTCAGTTCTTCATCACTACCAAGAAGACACCGTGGCTGGACAACAGGCACGTTGTGTTCGGCAAAGTCCTCTCTGGAATGGTATGTTTATATAAGTTAACAATTTTTGAAATGTAATTGAGACTTTATCTTGTTGAAGTGTTCTCCGTCTTGCCATTACTTTGTGATAATAAGATTTCCCAGCTGTCTTTGATCATTAACCTTTTAATATTTTTTTTTTTTATAAGAATCAGCTGTTCTTAGTCAGTAACAAAATTTACTTAGATCATATACTCGATTCTACATTTATTCTTCGGTCATATTTACCTTAAACTATGCACAATAGTGTGTGTGTCACTGTCTTGGACAACTGAATTGAATTAACACTATTGACTTTTGGATAATGAAGTTTAGATATTCCATATATGGACCAGCTGTAGCCTATTACTAAAAAAGAATATGAGCTACTCACTGAGTGCTACAGTCTAAAACTTGATTTTCTTCCTTAGTTTTTGTTTCTGGGATAATTTGAGTGACATAATAGATGATCTACAGCTTACTTGGTTAAAACAAGTTGGCGTATTCAACTGCCATTGTAATCATTAAACTGGCTACAACTTTAATGTAGGAATGGAATGCCATAGGTCTATGACTTGTTAAATACATTACTCTTAGAAATAAACAGTTCCCAGGTATCACAGTTTTTACTAGAAGACTAAAAGAAGATAATTAAGGAATCTTCTGTGAAAAGGCTCCTTTGAATGCTACAGGCTCAAATGATGCCTTTAGACAATTTTAATTGACAGAATTAAACTTGAAAGTAGGCCTACCTTCCTACCACAATTTTGTTTTTATTATTTAATAACAATAATAGTTATCTTAATCTCTATGCGAAAATATAGGTATTGCATGGCATGCATCATGTTGAATTAAAACTAGCTTATTTCCTGTAGGATGGGAAATTCGCTAAACGACATAATACCAATGATTATACACCAGAGTGTGTGGTTCACTAGGGCCTAAAGTGACTTTTCAACCCGAGCTCAAGTTTTACAATCGAGGCGAAGCCAAGGTTGGAAAATGAGCGAGGGTTTAAAAGACACTTTTTGCCTGTGTGATTAACTATGCTATATTTTTTGTCATATTGCATCATTAATTAACAAACTAAGCTACGCTTCAACGAAAATGATTTCCTAAAGATAACCTCTGAAGGAGCTGCTCATCGGTGATGTTGATCACACTGATGGATTAAAGGTATTTTAACCTCTCAAAACGACTTCTAGCTTGTTTTAAAATTCTGCTTATGTAAATAAACAGCTGTTTAGTAAGTGATTCAATCATTTCGTCCATTACGATTGTGTTGCTCTACATTTTACCATCGATATGTGAAACTATTACTGTAACAAGAATGCAACAATAGGTAAGCAACGTAAGGTAACCTTACCTAATAAATCAGTTGATAAATAATTTTGATCCATGCGATTGTTACCTTAGTCGAAATTTACAACTGTTTACAACAGCTGATTTTTACTCCCTAAAAAGGCTTTTTACACCCTAGAGAGTAAAAATGCTACTTTAGACCTGCATTGCAAATGCATGTAGGCTATAAAAAACTGCTGTTTTTGTTGCAGTATGACGAAATAGTATATTACGTTATTAGTCCTAAAAATAGGTGTTTGCCGGACGTCTCGCACGGGATTACCATACGAGTCCGGTAAACACATTTTGGACGAGTGACGTACGATAGTTTACGCCATATTACTAAATCTGTACAAACCCTTATATATTACCACCAACTAAAGGACTAAAAATCACTAGTCATAACCTCTAAGAGAGGTTATGTTTTTGTTTATAACTACTCATTGCCACCCAAATACAGTATAATCAGCTGATTGGTGTCCGGTAAAACTCATTGCAGTACAGTAGTACGCAATGAAACCCCATTTGATTAACCCTCCGAGTGTCCCTAGTTTTGGCCTTAATGTTTGCCTATTTTTGCGCATTTGCAAGGTTTTATTAAAACGGATCTGAGAAGCTTAAAAACAATGTTAATATACTGTTCTATATACCATTTTGTTTGGAAAATCATGGGCTTCAATATTATACATAAAACATAAGGAACATTTGCTTCAAAAAAAATTTTTAGGTAAAAAAAAAATATTTTGAAAAAAAAAAGTTTGCGCTCAATGAAATTGTATAAATTATAGGCCTATAAGTATTTGAAAATAGCCACTTTGTTCTAAATTTTATGAGGATTACAAATATATAATAATATAAGGAAGTAGATTTGCAAATAAATAAGTTATGGGCAAAAAACAGATTTCAGTACATAGCGTTTAGCTAAGAATGCATAGCCTAACCATAGCTAGGAATCTGGCTGATAATTTACATCAATATCACTACCTACTTCTTCAGCATCATCAACTAGCCCTTCAAAATCACTTAAATCTTCTTATAATGCACCACGTTTATCACTACTTTTGATTTTTAACACTAAAACAATGATAAACGTAATAAAACACATCAGTCATCGGTGCGAGGTTAACCAAGCTGTTTACAAATACGCACGTCAGCTGTCTGCTACAATTATGATCGGCTCAAGAAAAAAAAGCGCTTAGAGACAAACCTCGGGAGAAAGCTTAGAATCTGCCAAACAAAACGATACCTAACTCGATCCAGTTCAATCCGATTTTGTCAGTCATAGAGCCTTCGCCGTAAACATTGTTTGTGAGTCGAAAAATCGACACAAAACACTACACAAAGTGTGTTATGTGTCGATTTTTCGACACATAACACTCGGAGGGTTAAGCTGGCTGCAAACAGCTGTTTTCTGGACTAAATCCTTACTTGGGAAGTTCGTCAAAGTAGTTCCCCATGTTAACCTTATGAGTATTCACATTTAAAGGGAATTAAAGAATTTAGTCAGCTGTTTCAACTAAAACAGTTGGTTCTATGATATGCAACAGCATTAAAAGTTAAAAGATTTATCAACAGGGTGCGGCACTATTATTTTTTTATTTATGACAACAGCTAATTTGAACCAAGCAGCAACAAAAAACTGTGATACCCATTGAGAACTGTCAAAGTTGGATTGTTTACACTTATGTTCATGTTTTTACTTATGTTTATGTTTTTAATTTCATGAATAATTTGTGACATTTTGCAAATCTAATAATTTATTTTTCTCTATTTGTTTAGCTGAAGTGGTAGAACATTATGGCTATGGTAGTATGTCTAATACTATAGTAGATTTAAAGAAGGAAATTTTATCAAACTGTGTCCTCTTCCATTGTAAACGCAAAGCTTGAGTATAAATGCAATAAGCATTTTATACTTATATGCAAATCCCGTACGAAGGACGGGTACTCTGCTAGTTTCTTATAAAAATAGAAATAATCTAGGATAGCTGTGTCCGGATTATGTTACAATTTGTGCTAGTTTTCTCTCAAAGCTTAGTTGGTTAATTAATCCGAAAAAAAACTTTTTAATACTCTGTGAAGGCTCAAATCAACTAAATTCTTCTTTAGCTTACTAAAATACTGGCTTCAACTTAAAATGAAAGGTAAGATGTTTTTCCATGGGATGTTTTTAATACCCAGATGTTTTGTATATGATAAATTAGCAAGAATACTAAAGTAGTAAATCGTATTTCCCTGATCGTGCAACATAAATGCTAAACAATAGGTCGTTAATTTTAGTGGTGTTAAAGTTTGTGTTGTGTGCCGAAAGCTGATAACCCTATCTTTACTGTGAAGTTTCTGAAATGCAATTACTAATATTGAATTTCCTTTGATTTTTAAATTGTCAGAAGTTACAAACTTCTTTTGCCAACAAGAGGTCAAACAATAGGCCTACTTAAGTTACTTGATATTGGAAATCTCGCACTTATTATTAATAAAACGGATACATGTATATATTGTTTTAATTTCATGAACGTAGAGAAATCTAAATGTACGTTCTTTTATAATAAAGTTTAAAAATTTTTACCATTTGGTTTTTTTACAAACAATCTTTTAATGTTATCTTTGGAACTAACCATGCCTTTAAAAATGATCTAATGTAAAACTCAAACTATTTAATAACCCAAGAATGTACCATTTGTAGCTGGCTAAAACTATCATAACGGAAACAAAAGTACCTACTCTTTAGCTTTAGGCCTGTCTAATGTTGCAAATATATTAATTTGTGGCTCAGTCAGTAGCACAAGATATGAAATGACATTTTTCAGGCTAAAAGAAAAATTATTATTGTGATTCAAGCTGTTGCTCAATCCACTGATTTATAATCTCTTAAAGGTGAATAATGGTTTCAAATTTCAAAGTAACCTTAACCTTCCTTCTGTATTCCCATCCACTGATGATGATAAGAATATCAAGAACTCTCATTGTTCTCTGCCGCTTTTAAATTTTTTACTTGTATTGTAATTCACCTTTTTCAACCATAACTTCCTTGTGGCTTGATTCCCAGTCTGGTACATGAATGTAACAGTTTGTGAAACTTTCAGAAAACCATCCGTAAAGTGGAAAGCTCAGCAACAGACAGCAGAGACAGGCCGCTGAAGGACGTTGTGATCGTAGACGCCGGTGTGGAAGAAGTCGCTGAACCCTTCGCTGTCGAGAAGACAGACGCAGAAGAGTAATGCATTTAAAACATTGAACAAACACGAACAAACTAAACTTAGGTGTAGGGCAACATGTAACAAGTCCGAACAAACATATTGTGATTGTAGCTTGTAATTTTGTATTTTTTGCTCAACAGTAATAAAATTTTATAAGTTGGTGTATTCTGTGTTTTTGTAAAGGTGGTTGAGAGAAATGTTTATGTGGAAGTTAGGAGTCACAGGAAATCTGAAAATGTTTGTTTTGAAAAAATGCAACTGTGGGATTAGTTGGGTTGTAGTTATTTTTGCCAGTAATCATAAGGAGAAGTTTAAAAACCAGTGACATCTATTGATCCTTGCAATGGCCAATTGAATTTAATTATTTTCATGTATATTTACCCCTGATCAAGAATGCTACAGCTACAGTGTAATATACAAGTTAGTCATGATCAAAACCATGAGTCTCAGATCCTAAAATTTGAGTTCCAAATCTAAAATCTACAGTTGGACGATTCTTATAAAACACAATGTAAAACTTACTTGAAAAATAAATTTTCCCAATTGCTTACTATATTAGCCTATTTTAATAAATTATAAAACTTTTATATAGTTAATTTTTACAACTGTTTACCAGTGAAACAAAATCAGGAGTTAACATTGAAGGTAGGTAACACAGAATATGAGATTATATTCCAGAATCCAACAGATCAAGTTTCAAAATTTAATCTTTGTGAGGCTTCATAAAACCACAATTAAAAATTTAAATGGTGTTTCTATTTCCAACAAACCCAACTGAATTAAAAAAAAAAATAAACTCCCCACAGTCTTTAGAAGTTAATTGTTTGAAAAGACAATGTGTTCTCATGTTTGCTTCAAGAAAGAAACATTTTAATCTCCCTGAGTTATATGGACAGCAGTTAGTCCTGAGGATTATTTTGTTTCATAATTAACTTGTTACCTTTTTAAAATACATTTAAAATTACTTCTTATCATCGTTTTTTGAGAGTTTGACTTTGTATTTATCATTAGTATACAGTTTAGTAACTCTTACTCCCACGTGAACAATTCTCTTAAGTTTAATGGGGTTTTATTATCTTCGGTTTTCCTAATCCCTAGATTTTGAACAATAGCTTTTAAGTTACACAGAGTGAGATGTGTGTTGATTTTCTGCACCACTAACACCCAATCTGAATTAATAGATTTAATAGTTGACCTGTTTTGTCTTCGACTACGGGGAACAAATGCTCTTTATAACTTGATGACTCATTCAGTCACTCGTGGTATTTTATTAGAGGTATAAATAGCTTTATTCAGGTGCAAAATACATTTTTATCACCTAATGAAAAACAAAGATCAATTGTATTTTTATATTGTTTTTACACGTCCGTATTTGCTTCCGTTCTGGTCATTCAAGGGAAAGTCAACCAGGTCTCTTCATCTTCTCTTATCACTCTACAGTTTTTCTTACTCAACCATCGTATCTTCTTTACTTTATGAAACCACCTTCTACGTATTCTCTCTGACTGCCTTGTAACTATCTCTGCAATTCCTATCAACAAAATTTTTCTAGAGATTCTCTCCTCTAACATTTCCAAATTATTGTAGTCTTGCCTTATCTACTGTCAACAATAAAATATGGTTGTTTGTACCATTGAAAAAAAAATTACCTAACTTTAACCCTTTGAGTGCCAACGTCCGGGGAACCGGACGTTTTTAAAACGAGCCAAAAGTGCCGACGTCCGGCCGACCGGACGTTTTTAGAACGAGCCAAAAGTGCCAACGTCCGGCTGACCGGACGTTTCGTAATGATCGAACAGTTGTCATAACAACCGAATGGATACTCCGATTCTTTTAACCCATATATTAACATTGAGTCGAAAGTAACTAGATGCGATACATCGATTTTCGTTGGTCGAAATATCGAAAATTCGATTTTTACGAAATTTTAACCTAAAAATCGCCAGATCGCGCTCGGCATTTTTAGCGCGACCTTCGGGAAAAATCATCGGCATTTTTTGAGCGTTACTTTTATTTCTCGCCTGGCACTCTAAGGGTTAAGTTTCATGAATAAATTTAACAGTAAGGTATATTTCATTACTAGTACCGATCATGGCATTTTCTGTCTAGTTTCATTTGTGAGGATACAGGAATATCAAGCAGAGCATGAGAGATTTATTTTCACGTACTAGACGAAATCGAGAACTGACTTATCATTGAAGCATTTGGTGGAAAATTAATTTCAATACCAACTATTAACAAAACTTTTGATCAAAAATACTTTCATACAGAATTATAAATCTCAGTGGAATTTAAATATTTCCTAATTAACACGATTTGAGCATAAAAATAAACAAATAAGTGTGCAAACCTTCTTAACAACGTACAATTTAGAAGTTCAAGGTTTTGTTGTTATGTTTGTAAACACAGTAAAACTAGCTTATTTCTGTTCAAAATTTTAAATCCTAAAAACAGCTGATTTTAATTAGGCCTATAGAAATAAATTGATTGTAAACAACCACTAGGGTGCATTGTTGACAAATGGAGAACCAATTGAGAGCAAGGGAAAATTAAATTATCTGATCATTTTTTTGTTGGGATTAGCTATGGAAACTTCCTTTAATATTTCAAAATTGCTAAAAGACCCAACTGTTCACAACACTGTTGTCTTGATTTCTTCTAGATGGAATTAAACTTAAGAGTAAAAACCATTGACTTTATATCTCTACTCGTGTAGAGATATAAAGTCAATGGTAAAAACGCTGTATTTCACTGTAAAGCATTGTTGATGCACATGTCACTTAGGGTTGCCAAAATATTATTAGCTTATGAACTTTGACAGAAGAGGACGAAGAGGTGTAAATATGAAAGCTGACATGAGATGAGGTTGTGCACTTTTGTACTTTTTTCTTAATACAATTACAAATATAAAAAAAAATTATATAAAATAGCTGAGCAAAGAGCTAGCTAACAAAACATCAACAAGCTTACATTTATCTTCTATTCATGTCCGATACTTATGAATTTTATGAAAACCTTGATTCATTTCGGGTGTATTTTCTTCTAGAATAGAAACAACTTTGTGTGATACAGATCTATCTAAGAGTAGGTGGAATGAACATTCCATCAAATAGAGAACAAAGGTTAGACTTGGACACTGGGATCAATCAGTGGATCATTTGGAAGTTAAAATGGTTAGATAGCCAGTATAGTGCACACCCTCAGATATGAAGATCAGTGGTTCTATTCCAAGTGAATCTGTTTCCAGGCCCAGATGCAATTTTCCTTTTGGCTATCCATTAATCCAACAAAAAAATGAACTTAGATGGTAATAAACCAAGGTATTTTACTTTTCCCCCAGAAAAAAACTTTTGAACAATCCAAAGTCTTACAATACAAAGAATACAATTTTCAAATTCTGTCATATAGTTGTGTTAGGCCGGCCACACACAGAACCAGGCGGGTCGGGGCGCGACAGGGCATGACGAGACGCACTGTCTTGTTGCTGTCACACAAAGAATGAGGCAGGGCACGTCAAGTAAAAAAGGTTAGCCCCCATAAACCTGAAAATTAATATAGGATTTTTTTATTTCTGAGCATTGAGCCGATTTAGCCAACTTTTAAATTTGACTTTATACTTGGGAGCAGAACAGGCCCGCTTTTATAAACGGGCAGACTGGGCATATGCCCAGGGGCGCTGGTGGTTTAGGGGCGCCTGGCAGGCACTGCACGTCCATCTACCGCCCACACTAGGAAAAAAGGGGGGCGCTGCTTTTGAGTTTGCCCAGGGCTCCATTGACCCTTAACGCGTCCCTGGAGCAGAATAGAAAACAAAATTCAAAGTCATACCTCCAGAGGAGTGGTTTTTGAAACCCTTAAGATATGAACGTTGGCCCTCTCTTTCCTCAGTTATCAATACCAAGATAAACTATTAGTTATTCAACCACTGTAGTAATGTCATCACTGCATAGTCTTATCAAAGGGTGTAATCTTTGGTCGTATAAATTGTTACAGTCTTGTATGTAAATTGTATCAGTTGTAAAATAATCCTTATCAAAGTTAGCCCGTAAGGGAATAAATCACATGACCGCGCATGCGCAGAAAGTTCTGCCCGGCAGCGACTTGCCTCAGGGCATAATTTTGGAGACCTTCGCATTTTGCCCGGAGGGCGCCCGGGGGCGTCTTTTCGACGTGCCCTGCCTCGCCCGGTCCTGTGTGTGGAGCTCCATAAGCGCCCGTGCAATTCCCGTCGCACAAGACGCCCCGGGGCAAAATGCCCTGTCGCGCCCCGCCTTGCCTGGTTCTGTGTGTGGCCGGCCTTACTGAGTTTTAAAACATGAATCAGATGTCAACGATTATCCTTTGATGGCTCTACAAAGTAAACTGTCTACAGTTAGTCCTCATTGTTGGTAAAAGAATAAAACTAAACAACAATGCCCAAATGGCATAGATTCAGCTTTGCGAAATAGGGATTTAAGACAAATTGACGCAATTACATTATACAGACCCTTTCTTTCATCTTGGGGGTTTTAATTATAAGTCCTGACTCTAGTAGTGGTTGAAAATGTTTATATAGGGAAGTTTGACTGGAAATTGTGGAGTTACCAGTACCTGCCCCTCTCTATTAACTGATGAAACATCGAAATTGGTACAGAGGTAGCGTCTCCAAGCTGACATGCAAGATATAGCTTCAAACCAGGCTGCCTATCATTGTGGCGCTACTATTTGGCTTACCCAAGTAACTTACAGTTTAGCACACTACAGTTACTTCACTGTTCAGATCAGTAGTCTTGTGATTTTTTTTAAGAAAGAAAGTTAAAAGACAGTCTACTTGTTTTGTGGTAAGGTAAATTTAAGTATTGCAAAGATTTTAACCAATCAGTAATAAAGTCCAGGCTCTGCTTGAAAAGCAGGACGTATATGTATATTTGCAAGAGTAAGGAAGGACCGATCTGGGTTATCAAATTGAGGTAACCATGATCCAATGGTGAAGAGGAGTCAAAGCACAAGAGAAACTGTTAAAAATTGCTATCTCAAATATCTGTCAAGATGATTACATTTGTAAATCCAAGTGTTGGCCAAGGCCAACAATCCATCTATGATCTATAAACACTAAGTTATTATGGCTATAAACTACAATGAAGAAGTAAGTATCATAAAGAAAAATTGCTAAGTTAAATATTTTC